TTACTTAGAATCTTGATAATAACGCAGCTCAGCAGCAGCCTAAGAACATAACAATAGCTCTATTGGATCAGACAGTGGCCTCTCAAGTCCAGCATCCCTTGCTCACAGGGACTAACCAGACACCCATGCATGGGTGTAGCCATGATTTTTGTTGGGGGGGGGTAGGACCTCATATTTGTATTGATTTGTATTGGTTTGATGGGCCACTGCTGCTCCCATTAGCTACGCTGGGGAGAGGCTGGGGAAACCCAGCCAGATGGGTGGGGTATGAATAATAAATTGTTATTATTAAATTACTATTTTGCCTTTGCACTCCTGGCAGCTGGGGGGGGCAATGGCTCTCTCTCTTCGCCTGTAGTTTCCAGCAACAAGGTTGTTGTGAGAACGACATGCTATGCAGTTCTGAGGCATGTGAAGAATCGACAAACGTTACTGGTGATTTGTTCTAATCTCTGCTTTCCAGGTGACAAGGAGCCCATTTATGAAACGATGGATTCGCCTGTGGAATCGCCCAGAGTAGAAGGGAAGGAGCCTCCGCCAATGTCTGGACCTCTCCCTGTAAGTCAAGGCATGGATGACCAGCCAAACGCCCTGGACTCAACCGCTCCTTGGTTAGGTTCTGCAAATGGGGTGTGATGGGACTGAGAGGATTAGGAGTGGCTGGGAGCGGGATTTCTAAGTCAATGAACTCCACCGTGCAACTCCCTTGGTCCTGATCCGGACTCTTGGAATTCCAAAGGTTCTGTATGAATTCGTTGGAACGGCCCTTTCTTCTGCACATTTGAGAGTCTGTGTGCCTAAGGGTGAATTTGTCAGGGACCGTGCTGAGGAGGGTGGGAGCCTCCCCCTCCCCCTGCTCCTGATCCGGATGCTGAATCTTCCCAGGAGCAAGAGGACAGTATAGATTTGGAACAGCGGTTTGCAGAGGGACATAGTTCAGAAGGCAGAAGCTGGGAAATACTGGATGGAGAACAGCTAGGAGAAGAAACTCTGGAAGAGAGAGGGTTAACAGATTCACAGTCCCTGGACAACATTCACCCCCCCTTCTCCAAAGTCACGGAGAGCTCAGAAAGTGGCAGAACAGAAAGCACAGAGGGCACAAGCTCAGATTACAAGACGTAGGAGTGATGTAGATTAATAGGGACAGAAGGGGGTGAAATCCTTAATTGGGAGCACCGCCATTCTAGGAGATTGTTTCTTTGTTCTCTCGCTGTATAAGTTTCTAACTGGTAAGAAAACTCCTTTCCCTTTGCTCTGCTTATCTACTGCCACGGGGGAGGAAGCCTGACAGAATTTAAAGGACTCCCCCAGCCAGTGGCATAGCTAGAGGGGCAAATGTTGTGGATTGCCCCGGGCGGCACTTACCTTTGGGGGTGGCATGCCGAAGCCCAAGGTGGTTTTCCAGCCCAGACGCCCTGAGAGCCCAGCATGTCACTCGCAAAAGCTGCTTGGGGCTGGGTTCATAGTGTGTGCAAGCTGTTGTGTGTCCCCCGGCGCCGCTCTGGTGGCCGAGAAGGATGCAACAGGCGCGCACCAGCGCCATGAGTGGTGCTGAGCTTGCAGGTTCCCCAAAACACCACGTCCCTCCCCGCCACCAAGGAGCAAAATCTCAGCAAAGGGAGGATCAAAATGAAGCCCACCCTTTCACGATGATCCAATCTTTTTCATTGCCCACCATATTCTTTCTCTTCACAGCCTCTGCCGGGTCCTTGCCCCGGACTGGACACAAACTACATGGTAAGTTCTTAACCCTGTGGGAAGCTTAACTGGACTTTTCATTTCTTCCTATATCCATAGAAATGTAAGCCCGTCGTCACGCTTTGCAGTTTGCATGCCGGCCCGACCACTGGGACTACAAAGGGAAGCATCGCCTGACATCGCTATGAAGTCAGGTGATTGACAGGTGGGCATCTGTCACCTTTGGCCTGCCAGGAGCTTGGGAAATCAAGATCTGCCCTGCCAGCCAGGAAAGGTCCCAGACCTTTCTGCCGCAAGGGATGGGGCAGGTGGGGTTGTTGTGAGCTATAAGGGGAGGGAAGCGGGTGGCGGTGAGGTCTAAGGCTGGGTAGACTGGGTTGCTGAGCAGGGGATCACCATCTCTGGGCAACCTTTGGAAGGTCATAGAATCATAGAGTAGAATCTTAGACTTAGAAGGGACCCTGAGGGTCATCTAGTCCAGCCCCCTGCAATGCAGGAATATGCAGCTGTCCTGTACGGGGACTGAACCTGCGACTTTGGCGTTATCAGTACCAAGCTTTAATCAACAGCTTGGGACCAGTTTACCTGTGAGATTGCCTTATCCGATTTATTCCCGCACGGCATTTATTCCTGCATTGTGGGGGGCTGGACTAGATGACCTTTGGGTACGTTCCAACTCTACAATTCAATTCTATGGCGGCTCCAATCTGTGGAGCTGGTGCCAGATAATACTCATTCCACATGAGAACTCCTTGTCTATTGACGCCAGGCAGGCACCTTCCTTGTACTCTTCTGCACACCTATTAGAAACATTTTTGTTTAGGCAAGCCTATTTAAGTCACGTAGAATGCTGGCATGGACTTTCATCCGGTTATTAGCTTAGCGTTGACTCTTAATTATTTTGTGCAGGTGTTAAATTTCTGTTTCGAGCTGGTTTTTACAGTTGATCTTATAGTTTTATTCGTTTGGTGAACTGATTTGAGGTTGTTTTGCAATCAAGAGGTAGATCAGCTTTGTGAAATTAATAAACAGGGTTCCTTTCCTCTTTAATTTTTAGGAGTTGCTTCGCAGAGCAGAATCCATTTATGCCGAGATCAAGAGGTGATTCCTTGCCTTGAAAGATGCTCCTCTGACTGCCCCCCCCGTGCCAGCTCCCCCGCTCCCTGAGAACTGACCCATTCCAGTATTTTGGGATGTGAATTCTCCATCTCCTGTCATATTGCTCTCTCTTGTCTGCTGCTGGCAGGATCTAGAATCCTTTCGCCTTAAGACTGTGCATACAGCGAAGAATTTCAACCTACCGCCAAGTTCAAAGGCGATCGAGCCCAGGACTTTTCTCCTGATGGGATGGAGGAGCAAGACAGAGCTTGCTGTTGCCTGGGCAGTTCGATCTCATCTCTTCCTAAAAATGGACCACCATGCGTGGCTAAAGTCTTGCTCCTTTTCAAGGAACCCTGGCGGCGGGAGGAAATATTTCTGCTTGCGATTGCGATTATTTTGGTCTTCTGGGCTTTTTCCGATAATCCCATTTTTGTGTGTGTTTTTTTAATAGCAGCAATCTGCTTTGGTGCTCAGAAAGTCTTTCTGTTTCCTGGAGGGCTGCTCTGCAAAGTGTTGGAGGGGTGCTTTGACTCCCCCCACCCACAAGAACTACTTTCTTTGCAAGCTGTAGATCAGGAAATGGGAGGCCACACACACACACACACTCTTTCAGGTCATCCGTATAGTTCAAGCTATGGTTTTCCCAGTAGTGATGTATGGAAGTGAGAGCTGGACCATAAAGAAGGCTGATCACCTAAGAATTGATGCTTTTGAATTCTGGTGCTGGAGGAGACTCTTGAGAGTCCCATGGACTGCAAGAAGATTCAACTTCTCCATTCTGAAGGAAATCAGCCCTGAGTGCTCACTGGAAGGACAGATCCTGAAGCTGAGGCTCCAATACTTTGGCCACCTCATGAGAAGAGAAGACTCCCTGGAAAAGACCCTGATGTTGGGAAAGATGGAGGGCACAAGGAGAAGGGGACGACAGAGGACGAGATGGTTGGACAGTGTTCTCAAAGCTACGAACATGAGTTTGACCAAACTGCGGGAGGCAGTGGAAGACAGGAGTGCCTGGCGTGCTCTGGTCCATGGGGTCATGAAGAGTCGGACACGACTAAACAACAACAACAACAACAACAACAACAACAACAACAACAACAACAACAGGGCTCTTCCAGAACACCTCTATTTTAAGCCTGAATTCAACCGTGCCCTGGAAAATTCAGGTTAAGCAGTGATCGTTGATGGGGAGGTCTTGCTCAAAACCCTGCTTCCCCCAAAGATCTGACTTTTTGCAAGAAGGAAGCTGTGGGGGTGATTCTTGCTTTGACGCAACATCCTCTGACCTCCCCACAAAACAGATCGGAACGGATACTCTCTAAATCGCTGGTGTCTCTAATCTGTTTGGAAGTGCCCTTAGTTTAGGATCTTTCCTTCCTTCCTTTCCCACACATGTGAGGTTTGAAAAGTCTCTTCTCCTGCGTAGTCAGCACTTTAGACTAAAGCAAAGATATGTATTAGATTGGAGGGGTGCGTGGATGTCAGCCTTGTCAGATTTTCTTTTTTCTTTTTTACATGAATCCCCAGAGCTACAAACCACTGCTGGTTATAAAAGATAGGCTGTAAAGGGTTTTTGTTTTTAGTCGGATACTGTCAGCCTGGGTAGCTCAGTTAGTTAGAGCATGGTGCTGATGATGCCAAGGTTGCAGGTTCGATTCCCGTATGGATAGCTGCATATTCCTGCATTGTAGGGGTTTGGACTAGATGACCCTTGGAGTCTCTTTATGATTCTGAATACTCCTTGCTGGAATCGCAAGCAGGCTTTGTGTTGGCCATCAATGGGACAGGATCCTGGAATAGGCTGTCCAGTGGCCTGATTCAGCAGCAGCTTCTTATTGCTATGCTCTTAATTAAAGAGCAGGATGCCCCCGTTCTGAGCCTTGGGATGAGTTTTCAGTGCCACAGCTGAACTGAGTTTACAGTCCTTTTGCAAAAAAAAACAACCCCACCTCCGCTCCCGGTGAGATTTCTTCATTTCAAGCAGTCTATCTGATATAAGGAATGTCGTGTTGTTATCACTGTCAAACAAATGGAGAGCCAGGGGACCCGGCTGCAAGTCGACCAGATGTCTATGCTTAGATATTGTTGTAGCAAAACGGTATATAAATTGTTGAAATAAATAAATGAAGTAAGGTATCAGTCGACCCTGATGTACTAGGACTATGGGAAATGATGGCTCAATTGGGCAGGCAAACCCTATGAATTGAGCAATGTTGTGGCTCTGAGTATAGCCCTTGAATTGGGGATCCGGACCAGAACTAGGCCCCTAAGTCCACACACACACACAAATCCACTCCTGGTTTTCCCTCTTATCAAAGTTTTCTTTTTTCTTTAGCGTGCTAATTTGGGCTTGTCTACATTTCTGGTTAGGGATGTGGGTGGCGGTGTGGGTTAAACCACAGAGCCTAGGACTTGCTGATCAGAAGGTCGGTGGTTTGAATCCCCGCGACGGGGTGAGCTCCCATTGCTCAGTCCCAGCTCCTGCCAACCTAGCAGTTCAAAAGCATGTCAAAGTGCAAGTAGATAAATAGGTACCGCTCCGGCGGGAAGGTAAACTGTGTTTCCGTGCGCTGCTCTGGTTCGCCAGAAGCAGCTTAGTCATGCTGGCCACATGACCCGGAAGCTGTATGCCGGCTCCCTCGGCCAATAAAGCGAGATGAGCGCCGCAACCCCATAGTCAGCCACGACTGGACCTAATGGTCAGGGGTCCCTTTATCTTAACCTTTACACTTCTGGTTGGTCCCTGCCTAGCAAGCATGGGTCCGAGAGGTTTCCCCACACTTTCTAGGCACAGGTCTGAGCGGTTTCCTCATTCTTGGAAAACCTGGAAATCGGAACAAATGACAACCCTCAGAAGATCCAACTGCTGTTCCGACTCAGCGCTAAACCACAGGTTTTCCTGGGGGAAGGCGGCCAGGCAAATGGAGGTGTAAAAAAGCCCTTAGAAGGGCTGGGTGCACTTTTAGTTTAAATACCTGGGCATCAAAAACCCTGGCAAGTCACCCAGAGATCTATGTGCAGATCTTCCTGCCCACACCCGGCCTAACCCCTTTCATGCAGAGTGGGCAGGAGGAAGGACCAATAAGCTCTTTAGAAATCTGCCATGTGGCTACAGCCACCTCTTGTTTATCAGACATCTAAGGCTGTTGCCACATGTTCTGCCTGAACAGGCTGGTCTGATCTGTAAAAGTTTCATTCTGATGTATTTATTATTTTCAACTAGCAACTTCATAGCTGACAGTGCTTGGGAATTCTAAGGCTTATCCTCACTTCTGGGAAAATCTGTGATTCATTGCTGAATCTGAACAACCAGGAATCGGGCTTTCATTCCCCTTAACTGAGCTCTTCTTGCCCCCATCCCCGAGACACGAGAAATCCTCTTTCTGCTTAGAGTAACATCCAGCCTTTGCTGTGGATGCAACTCTGGCGACAGTCATTTTGTTTGGATTCCAACCCCCACACCGACCATGTTTCGAAAGGCGCAGCCTACCAGCTTGGTTTAAAATACCGTCCAATTTTGTGCCGTAATACAGTGGTGCCTCGCAAGACGAAATTAATCCGTTCCGCAAGAGTCTTCGTCTAGCGGTTTTTTCGTCTTGCGAAGCAAGCCCATTGACGGATTAGCGCTATTAGCGCTATCAGCTGTTTAGCGGCTATTAAAGGCTTAAAGGCTTAGGGGATTAGCTGCTAAAAGGCTATTAAAGGCTATTAAAGGCTTAGCAGATTAGATAAAGGGGGAAGCGGAAAAAAATCTCTAGACTCGCAAGGTATTTTCGTCTTGCGAAGCAAGCCCATAGGGGAATTCGTCCTGCGAAGCAACTTCAAAACGGAAAACCCTTTCGTCTAGCGGTTTTTCCGTCTTGCGAGGCATTCGTCTTGCGGGGCACCACTGTAAATGGAAATCTGCCCTTATTCCCTTATGGGGGACACAAGAGCCCTTATAGAGTCCTTTGCAGGTTCTCCATCGGTCGGAGAAAATAACAGAGGCCAACCAGAGAATATTGAGAAGCAAAGCAGCCAGTAAGCCTGATCTTTATTGAACTGTTGCAACAGGGTGCCCCCTTCACACGCAGAAGAAGGAGGAGGACCCAGAACCCAGGTGTGTCCGCCCTTATATAAGCATTTTAAATTGCCCGCTCTGGAGTCCAAGACCACCCCCAGACACATCATACCTACATTACAGAAAGGGCGGTCTACAGCAGAAATCTGAGTGCATTGTTTATCTCCTGTCATTGTTTATCTCCTGTCTGGCAGGTTACCTGTTAATACTTACTTGATTGGATACCCTGGGGAGCCTGGCCAGTCTTTTGTAATGATAAATACTTAGTTCCTGAGCCAGGTCACAGACTCACCCTATTCATACACAGATATACCCTTAAGACAGGTTTTGTGAATGAAAAGACAATGGGGAGGCTTTTCCTTTTTCCTTTGACCTTGCAGAGAAAACATTTGGTCAGTTGGGGAGCCAAAATGGATCCAGGATTGCCCTCCTGTGCTGCCTCAGACATGTGGCTCGTACATTTATTTACGTGTTTGCTTGGTACCTTTATGAACATTTATTATATATATAAGACCTTAATATTTCTATTTCAATGTGAACACAGACAAAAAACTATTCCCTGATCTCGTGAAACGTCATGCAAAATTCGGCCAAGGCATCCAAAGAGGTCCAAATTCACAGCGAACATACAGCTTTCCAAAGCAGGTATTGGACCCACCAATTTAATCTTTCCTAAGCGGATGCTGCTTATCTTGACTTCCGAAAGCATCCCTTGAGAGAAGACGCAAAGACGTTTCGGTGATAAGGGAGGCCTGTTATTATTTGTAATATGGGAGGCCTGTTATTATTTGTGACCTGCTACCCGAGAGTGTTTTGCTAGGAAATTCGCCCCAGTTGGTTTCAAGATGGGAAATGTTTAACAGAGTCACAAGATGTAACAAAGCAGGTTTCTGTTATGGGAGAAAGTTGCGTTTAGCCATTTAAGGAATGCAAATAGAGAGGAAATGTCCCTGACACTGGGGAGAGGGGGGAGGAAAAGGGGCAGAAGGTGTTTGTGTGGAAGGTCCAAGTGAGGCGTCATCGCTCACTACCTTAATGCTTAAAGCCCACAGTTCACTAAGGCTGAGGGTCTGGGAAGAGGATGGCCCCAGCCTTAGCGGCCCCATAGAAACTGGGCTGCTTTAGTGTGTGAATGTTATTATTTATTTAGTTAATTTGTATACAGTGGTACCTTGGTTCTCGAACTTAATCCATTCCGGGAGTCCGTTCGATTCACGAAACAGTTCAAAAACCAAGGCACGGCTTCTGATTGGCTGCAGGAGCTTGTTGGACGTTCGGCTTCTGAAAAACATTCGCAAACCGGAACACTTAACTTCCGGGTTTGTGGCGTTTGGGAGCCGATTTGTTCGGCAACTAAGCTGTTTGAGAACCAAGGTATGACTGTACAGTGGTACCTCTGGTTGCGTACTTAATTCATTCCAGAGGTCCGTTCTTAACCTGAAACTGTTCTTAACCTGAAGTACCACTTTAGCTAATGGGGCCTCCTGCTGCTGCCGCTGCGCTGCCACCGCGTGATTTCTGTTCTCATCCTGAAGCAAAGTTCTTAACCCGAGGTACTATTTCTGGGTTAGCGGAGTCTGTAACCTGAAGTGTATGTAACCCGAGGTACCACTGTACTGGCCGTCATCTGCAGATTTCCGGGTGGTTCGCAGCATAAAAATACAATATAAAAACACCAAATACATGATAAAAACAAGAACAAAAATAATAATAACCAAATCAACAAGCCCCTCCCCAAATACACTCGATGCTGTTCAAGCTGCTCAGGAAGCAAAGGGGTTGGAATAAGAGGGGGAGCTCTGAACCCCAACAGTGATGTTTATGAGGGACTGCATGCTAAGATTTGTGTGAGTGCAGAATTACAAAAATATTGAGGAAGGAACACCCTAAAGGGCCAGGAGTGAGCATGCTCGGAGCCAACAAAAGTGTTGTGGGGGCGTACCCTCCAACATTTCTCCGATGAAAATAGGGACGTCACATTCCATAATGATAATTTTACTGTTTATACCCCACACATCTTACTGAGTTGCCCCAGCCACTCTGGGCAGCGTCCAACATATATAAGAAACATAATAAAATGTTTAAAAAACCTTCCGTATACAGGATTGCCTTCAGACGGCTTGGGGGGGGTCGTATAACTCCATACCCTCCAGCATTTTTCCAATGAAAATAGGGACATCCTGAGGAAAAATGGGAAAAATCAGAAACCGGGATGGCTTCTCTAAATCAGGGATGTCCCTGGAAAATTGGGACAGTTTGAGGCTCGGGGGGAGGCGGCAGAGATGGAAAACTGAGGGGAAAGCAGGAATGGTGTTGCATGTCCTGGGATAAGGGCATGGCTGGCTGAGTTGCTGGAACCCTGAGCGGGACATTCCACGCTGCAACATTTTGTTGCTGGCCCTGTTAGTTAATCTTTATCCCAGTTGGAACCTTTCCCTGGGATTCAACTTGCTTTGGTTAGTCAGCTGCACCCTGGAGAGGGTTTTTATTCCCGTATTTGTTAACCGGTTAGGTAATGATCAATGCCAGGCTGCAATTAAGAAACTTCCAGAGATTCTTGAGCAAGGAGACGCCACCCCATTGCTCTTCCCTGCCGCCGCGTATGGCAGACACCCTGCTCCACTTCTCTAGGTGTCAGGAATTTGGAATGTGGGGCAGCTGCTTTCCAACGTGCTCCTGCGCCTTCCAGGGCAGCCTGCCTTGCAGAAAAATTATGGTTGCCTCCAGACTGCCGCGGTTTTGCGGGAGGGATTCAGGTGCATACCGGAAGTTTAGGTTTGTGCAATTAACGTGATTTAAAGGGCTCCGTCGCCCTGTCACAACAAATCCGGTTTGGAAAGTGGCGGAGGGGAATGATTAACGGGAAGGCTTTTAATCAACACCCTGAGAGCAAATTGGGAGGAATGCTCACTAAAGGCCGGATATAATCTCATCTCTGCGTAAGGTTTCTGCAGGCAAACCAGGACAAAGGTGCCCAGGAATTAGGTCACCTGGAGGGATCTGAATGTAGGCAGAGTGTTTCTCTCGGGCAAGGAGATGGGGGGCGGCGGAAGCTTCACCCCATAGCGACGTGACTGTGTCAGCCGGCAATTAACGGCGCAGCAGGAGAGTCCGTGAAAATAACAATGACAACTCTGTCAAGGAAGTGGAACAAGGTCCTCTAGTTCCTGGCTCTCTCTGGAGAGGGCATACCATATCCAGGGGGCCACCACTGAAAAGGCCACTCACTCCCATCGGACCTAGCTTGGTAGTGTTGCAGGAATTTATGTATCGGTTGGGGGGGTTGCCCCTCCAGCAGATATCATGCACATGCAGCCCACTACCAAAATCAGCACAATCACTTTTGTGACTTTTGTGATTTGTCCCCACAAAACACTTCATCGCAGTTTCTTCCCATCTATTAAAAGGGCCTCTGCTGCATGACACCAAATGTAACAATTCACTGATAGATGTATCTGTGTACTGGCTCACAGGGAAAACTTCAGAAATTCATATAGACATGTGAGCTCAGCTACTCAGCAGCCCCTCTGCCTGAGTGATAATTCCTGGCATCCTGATATCTGAGTGCCAGATAGGTAGCCATTCCAAAAATAGTAAACCCAGATGAAGACAAAAGGGTGTTATTAACTTGGCTGGGAAACAGGGAAATGTAAATATCTCTTTTGCCTCACTTGATGGGTGTTTGGTGGAGGGCAAGGAGAACCATGGGGCAGGGTCCAGGATGCTCAGATGACTGCCACCAGACCTCCCCTTTCATGATGTAACCATGATGTATGAGTGATGTAGTTTGGGGGGGTGTAACATTGGGATTAGCAGCTAATAAAAGTTTGGGGGCTCTTTTGTTTGGGGCTTCCATCTTGTTCTACCTTGTGGCAGGTGGTAGTCCTGTCGCGACAGTCTTCAATAAAGACCAAGCCTACTGGCTGCTGTTTTGCTCTGGCATTCCTGGCTGGTGTCCTTGTTTTTTGTCCAAGGGAACCCTCAGATTTCTCCAGAGAAGATGTCTTGGACTGGCTGGATGCAGAGGAATGGTGGGAGGAGCCAGGTGGGGAACCCCCCCAAAGGAAGAAGGCTCAGAGCCCGGGGAGTGGTGGTGGGATGATGATGAGCGATCAGAGGGAGAAGACTGGGAAGAAAGAGGAGGTCAGGAAGCTGGAGGGGTAACAGGACTTAATGAGCAGGGAGAATCTGTGGCAGAAAGCAGTCCAGAATCAGAGGCAGAAGCTGAATCAGGAGAGGGCCAAGAGGCAGAGAGGAGTCAGGCTGGTGAAGAGTCAGGGGTGTCTCCCCCTCCTGCTGCGACAAGCTCCCCTCCTTGTCTCACAGAACCCGCAGAGGTAGGAAGAGGACGGAGCAAAGAGAGGCATGGCAACGAAGTCTCAGATTGCTTGGGAAGGCTACCAGGGAGGAGGATCCTGGGACAGCTGTGGTAAGGCAAGGACCTTTTGCCTCCACAATAGACCTGCTGTGCTCATGGAGGCCTGGCTCCCCTGAGCAGACCTTGTTCCTTCTAATAAAGAGTTGACTTCACCTACTCCGTGTGATTTATTGCTGGCTGGCTTCTGTTCCACTTTCTCTCTGCCATGCACAATTTTATAAACTTCCACCATGTCAATTCTTTTACCCCACTAATCCTTTTATTCACCACCACCCCTTGACCCCTTTCTGTGCTGCAGACCCGGAGTCCATGCTGGGTGCAGAAGGCCCAAGAAAGTGTTAAAAGAACAGCAGAGATCTGTTCCAGATGGGTAGCAAAGGGCCAAATCATGCAGCCGAAATGAAAATTTGCAGCTTTAAGGCAGAAAAAAAGCAACACTTTATTTGAAAAAGTATCAGGAAAAGCACCAACAGGTTGTTTACAATAAGTTTGTTCAAAACTGGGTAACATCTGATAATTATGGGAAAACAAGCTACAAAGGTTTGATATACTTTTCTGAGTTTCTATAAGTTGCACATCTTGTGCACTGTCTACATCAGAGGAGACCCAGTGAAATTAATGGGCCTAAGTTCATCATGTCTATTAATTCCAATGAGTGTACCCTGAGTTGATTGAATGCTGGATAGAAGTTTTAGAAACCTTTACATATTTTTTTTTGTATTAACAGAAATGAAATAAAGTTTTTATATGTAAGACTGCACAGGATCCAGGATATTTCTTCATCCACGGCATAGAAAGAGGTAGAGAGGCCTTCCTGGTTATCGGGAATCTGTTGCCCAGATGGCGAGGCTGTGGAAAGATTTGGAGATTAGAATATTAGAATATTCATAGGGTGTTAGCGATGTGGAGCTTGTACAGTATAAGCCGACAGAGAGAGAGAGAGAGAGAGAGAGAGAGAGAGTTCTTTGCCCCAAACAACTTACAAAATAAAGTTTGCAAGAGGAGAAGGAAAAGAGAGGCAAGATGAACACGTGGCGAAATCATTTCGAGCTGAGTACCGTATTTTTCGCTCTATAAGACACACTTTCCCCCTCCTAAAATGTAAGTGGAAATGTGTGTGTGTGTCTTATGGAGTGAATGCAGGCTGTGCGGCTATCCCAGAAGCCAAAACAGGGAGAGGGATCGCTGCGCAGCGCTCCCTCTTGCTGTTCTAGCTTCTGGCTTAGCCGCGCGAAGCCTCTTCAGGGCACAGGGAGCCTTCATCCCGCTGCCCTGAGAAGGCTTCACATGCCTATCCCAGAAGCCAGAACAGCGAGAGGGAGCGCTGCACAGCACTCCCTTTAAATAATTTCCCCCCCTTGCATTCCCCCTCTAAAAACTAGGTGCGTCTTATGGTCAGGTGCGTCTTATGGAGCGAAAAATACGGTAGCTTATTGTCGAGCATGAACAAAAAACTGGATGCAGCAGCAATAGCTCACTGCCAGCAGGAGTCACATTCAGAGCTGCCAACTTTTCCTAGCAACCCCTGCTCCTGTGCCTTTTAAAGCAACTAGATCGGTAGGCATTCGTAGGTAACAAGGCTCATGCCTGTGCGGGGTGAAACTTTACCTGCTGGTTTCTGCAGATCACCAAGGCGTTGGGGGCTTTCGTGTGCGTGTTTGTTTGGCAATTTGTCTCGCAGGAAATGTTCAGCACCACTGGAGAAAATCATTCCCTTTTTGTAAGCGGGAGGCTGCCGTTGTGGTTGGTGTCAAGCCTGGTGCCACCTGGTGGCTACTTCAAGCTTTGCCACCTGCTCCAGGGGGGAAATCCACCCAGCTTTTTCCAACGCCACAATGGATTGCAGTGGCTTGTGCCTCTTAAAAAGACCATCCAAGTGCCCCTGTTTTCCAGGGACAGTCCCCGATTTACAGAAACCACCCCAGGTTCTGATTTGATCCCGGAATGTCTTGCTTTTCCTTAGAACCAAATGCTTTGGAAAGGCAGGATGGACTTAGCCTGCTGCCTAAAAGATAACCATCCCAGGAGAGGGTGTTCCAAAGATGGCAGGTTCCAATGCCAGGATGGACGAAGGACCACTCTCTGGTAAGTCATAGGAACACAGGAGGCTGTCCTGAGTCCAGAGGTGACGGCAGGCTCAGGTGGCTCAGACGGACAAGGAGGGGGATGGGAGAGGAGGTCCAGAGGAAGCAGGAATTTCTCCCTCCCAAGATATGGCTGATAGGGTGGCCATATGTCCATAATTTCCCGAATATAGCCGGAATATGACAGTCATAAGCAGGGTCCGGCCAGGAAAACCATGTCGAAAGTTTAGATACGGAGGTATCCTTAAAAATAGCTCAAAAACTTCAGTGGTTTTGTTTTTTGTCTTTTTTGCAAACAAACAAAAAAGCTCAGCAACTTTGGCCAAAAAACAACAGCAGCAGCAACTTTTGTGTCCGGATTTTCACTTTTTGAAATATGGCAACCCTAGCTCTGGATGGGAAACAGGACTTTACCCTAGCCAACAGCCAGGGTTGCAGGAAGCGGCGCCAGGAGTGGGGCACGGCTTGGTCACCCGGGCCCCGGTGGTGCCCCTATTTCTGGAAACAGACCCTCTTCCAACACAGTGACCGCCTTCACTCAGGAGTCTTGTGTGGCAGGAGAGTCCTGTGAGTAAGCAAGCCTTGCCCGTTGGGACCGCCCTAATGCTTCCGCCCAGTTCTGAACTGCTTGTCCAGATCTTGGACTCTCTGTAAACTGGAACCGGCCCTTTCAGCCCAACTGGACTTGTCTTTCCTGTCGCCCAGGCGTGAGTCGCTACCTGTTGCTGAGACTTTACCTCTACTCTGCCTCAAAGAAGGCCTTTTCCTCACTCTCATGTCATCAGGGCCTGAGTGGGAATCAGGACAGAAGCTGCCTTGTAGCAAATCAGAACACCGGTCCATTTAGCTGTCAGGTGTGGGATCTCCCCCAGCCCTACTTGGCGATGCCGGGATTTGAACCAGGGACCTTCAGTGTGCAAGACGATTCTGCCTCACTGAGCTACAGTCATACCTCAGGTTACAGACGCTTCAGGTTGCATATTTTCGGGTTACGGACCTGCCAAAACTTGGAAGTACCGGAATGGGTTATGTCCGGGTTTCAGCAGTCACACATGCGCAGAAGCGCTAAATTGCACTTTGCGCATGTGCAGAAGTGCCAAATCACAACCCGTGCATGCGCAGACGCTGTACTTGGCTAAGCCCCAAACCTAGGGTACCTGGAAAGCCTTTATTGATAGACAGGTCCACATGGGTTTTTGATGTCTTCATTGCTGTGCTTGAAAGCAGTTTGACTAGTTAATGTTTCATGCAGATCAAACTGCTGTTAAAGGCAAAAGAGCAGGCTGCGCAAGGTTCTTCTGATCAGTTGGCTTTGGATTTATGGATTTTCTTGGTGTCCTAGCTCTGGGCAGGGGAGGAGAAGCACCGCATGACACTGGTTTCCTACGAGCTGAATTTGAGCCCAAACTGGGGAAGGAGCAAACGCCCCAGAAGCTGTGGATCCTGTGAGATTGAGCCCCCGCTGTCACTACCAACCCAACAGGCTGTCAACATACCTTGCAAAAGTTAGGGACTTTCCGCCAAACTCATCATTCATTCACGGGATGACTTTGCGCCTCAGGGAAGTGAGGGAGCCTAAAAGGGCGGAGGAAATGGGTTCATTAAGTACGTCCACATCCTGCCCTTCCTCCAGTGATAAAGAAACACAGAGATTGTCCTATTTTAGCCTCACAACAATTGTGCTAGGTAGGACAGGGCGAGTGGCTCAAGGTGGCCAAGGGAACTTTGTGCTCCAGCGGAAATTCAAACCCTGGAACATTTATAGAACATTCCCCCTCCCACCCGATAAATCTTGGGAACTGTGGTTTCCAACTGTGGGGGGTCCTAGCTCTGTAAATGGTACTGTTTTAAATGTGCATTTCATATTTGACTGCCCTTGGCAATATTTTCTTTTGAAATGTTTAAGATTTTTTTGGTCAACTTTGTTTGTGTCAAATATGTCTTCTGTAGCTGACCTCCTTTGTAATGTTTCATTTTGAAATCTGTTAAGGTAATATTTTAGTTTCCTGTTAATTATGTTGCCTTGACTGTATACTTTATATTTGACTTTCTTTGGAAATGTTTGATTCTGGATTGTTTTAACGTGCTGTAAACCGCTTTGAGATTTTTTCTTTAAAATATAAAGCAGTATTGAAATGAAATGAATAATAATAATAATAATAATAATAATATAGTTCCCAAGCTTCTTTGGGGTGAACATGTTTGCTTTAAAGGTATGGTGCATTCCTGTCAACTGATCTGGAAAAAACTGGGACGTCCCGTTTCTTCCTGAGAGAGAACAGCGGCCACTTTGGGAGCCTTGTGGTTGCGCAATTTCAGGCTGAAAACTCACCCCGAAAAAGCGCCTTTCCCAGATCTGTGATCTCACACAGGCCATGTGACTTGTGCAGGATTTCAGACCCGAAAGATGGTGTCCCGGATTTGTGCCATGTCGTGTCGGAAGGTATGATGGTGTGTGAGCCTGTCTGTGTGAGAGTGTGGGATGGCCAATGATGAATGTGGCATATGGGCCAAAACAAAACGCTTTGCCACTGGTCCTTATTCCCATCTCTAGGGACTTAAGAAGAACCCCACTGGGTCAGAGCAAAGGTCTGTCTAGTCCAGCACCATTTCCTCACAGCAGCCCACCAGATGTCTTTGAGAAGCCTACAAGCTGGACTCTCAGTCCCCAGTGGCTGGTTTTCAGAGACCTGCTGCCACTATGTCTAGCAGCCCTCAAGAGAGAGCCTTATCCTCATTTCTGAAGCTGCGTATCCTAGCGGTTTGTGTGCCACTCACAGAATAGCCCGGAGAAGACGGGCATCAGGGCGTCTGCCCAGGCGAGCGATCCAAGCAAGGTCCCAGCGACGACGGCTGCGTTGTAGGTCAAAGAGGCAGAGGCACGAGCTACTTGGGGGCCATGACCTTTTTGGGGGTCATGACCTGAAAGAGGGGAAAAAGGATTGGGGATGAAAGCATTGATCCAGAATTCGGCTCCAAACAGCTGCCCTGTTGCGATCAACACCCACGCAACAAGGTCTTTCCAACTGTTAAATAAACCTTAAATAAACAGCTTAGGTAGTGATTCAATCTGCGTAAATTAAATGTCTCCAAAACTCCCCACCGCCTGGCCGTACAAGGTAAGTTGGCAACTTTATTTCGAAGAGTCAAAGCATCCTCAAACAGGTGCGCATGGGATGGCACTGATTTGCACATGGCTGAAACAATAGTTTAAAGTCCCAAGATGGCAGAATGAACGTTTTTTAGACAAGGCGTTCCCTCCGGTGTGAGAGAATGAGGCAGGGACGACTCTCCCAACCTGGGGCTTGCTGTCTTCCCTTTTAATAATAATAATAATAATAATAATAATAATAATAATAATTTATTTATACCCCACCCATCTGGTGGGGTACTTTATAGTACTTAATCTAAGTACCGTATTTTTCACTCTATAAGACGCAGCAGAACACAAGATGCACCTAGTTTTTGGAGGAGGAAAACAAGAAAAAAAAATATTCTGAATCTCAGAAGCCAGAACAGCAAGAGGGATCGCTGCGCAGTGAAAGCAGCAATCCCTCTTGCTGTTCTGGCTTCTGTGATAGCTGCGCAGCCTGCATTCGCTCCATAAGACGCACACGCATTCCCCCTTACTTTTTAGGAGGGAAAAAGTGAGTCTTATAGAGCAAAAAATATGGTACTTCTTAGATCAAGGCCCTGTATAATAATAATAATAATAATATATTATTTATACCCCACCCATCTGGCTGGGTACTTCTTAGTACTCAATCTAAGTACTTCTTAGATCAAGGCCCTGTCTGTACTATGCAGTGGTACCTTGGTTCTCGAACTTAATCCGTTCCGGGTGTCCGTTCGACTCCCAAAACCGTTCAAAAACCGAGGCGCAGCTTCCGATTGGCTGCAGGAGCTTCCTGCACTCAAGCTGAAGCTGCGTTGGACATTCGGCTTCTGAAAGACGTTCGCGGACCGGAGCACTTACTTCCGGGTTTGTGGCATTCGGGAGCCGATTTGTTCGGCATCTAAGCCATTCGGGAGCCAAGGTTCCACTGTATGTTGAAAGGAGTACTGCACCACTTTAAACAGCCACGACTTCCCCGCAAAGAATCCTGGAAAATTTAGCCTGCTGAAAAGTTGCTGGGGGTTGTTAGGAAGCTCCAATTCCCCTCACAGAGCTACCAGTTCTCCATTCCCTCTTGCAATGTTGTATATATTTATGTGGTTGCCGCCTAGTGGCCAAAAGGCAAACTGCTCTCTTAAGAAACAGTTGGAGCTAAGTTCTTGGGAGCTGGTCCAAAATGGATGCTGGACTACAAACTGTGTAGCAGAAACCAATAAATAAGGACACATATTGGGCACCCATTGGTATAGCATACATATATTATACCTCTTCCCAGGGAATTCTGGGAATTGTGGTTCTGTGAGGGGAAGGTGTCTCCTAACAACTCTCAACAACCATAGCAAATTAGACTTCCCAGAATCCTTTGGGGGGAAGCCATGACGGTTTAAAGTGGCATCAAAGTGCTTTAAATACGTGGTGTGGGCAGGACCTAAAAGAGAGGAGGACTAGTTGATCAATTTATGGTCAGGATCCGCCTTCTGCTACTCTTGCCTGGCCTTCTCCAGAGACCAGACTCTCTGCATCTCCATAGCACAGCAACTCAGCACCTGCTTAAAATGCTCAGGACAGCAGCATGCTGTGAGCAACCCGCCAAGTTTGCGTTTCTTTCATTGGGAAGCCGGAGAGAAATTAAGACCTGCAACCAATCCCATTGCTTTCCACCACTCTTTGGAAAAGTGCAACAGTGGTGTCAGAAGTTAAACCGCAGCAGGAGAGAAAACACTACAAGGGACTCCTCTTGGCCAAGGAAATGTTTTGTCCTGGAATGCAAATGTTAAGTTTGGCGCCCCCTAGTGCTTGCAGTGGGGTTTCACTGTCTAATCGATGGAGTGGTTTGATGATGTTAAAAACGCTTTTAAGGGGCCCAAAAAGGAAGAAGTCATTTTTTATTTAAGCAGGTGGCTGCCGTACGGTGTAGAGCTTTGGAGAGGATGGATACTTGCCAGATTGTTGGAAGACATCAAGATAGACCTGTCCCTTGTGCACCTGAAAGTCTCCTATTTCAGGCTGCTGCCCTGGTTGTTGCTGCTGGTTCAGAAGAGATTCGATCTTCACCGTGTAGTTGCCGGTGTCAGAAACATCAAGCTGCCTGATGTGCAAGGTGCAATCCTGCCTCAAAGTCGTTCTGCCTTGGGACAAGCTTTGCTGGTCTGTGTCCTCTGGGTCGTATTCGAGAACTTTTTCTTTCCCGCCCCTGGGGTGTATGACCCACTTGCAAAAGCTTAATTGCTTTGGGGCATTTTGCGGGGTCAGGGTGAGGTCCTGACCTTGAACAGGACGCTGTGGGTTGAGGTTTATGGACATGAGGCCTGTAAAAATAGAATTCGTGAGGATTTCACATGGCTCAGGATGAGAGTTGAATATACCGTATTGGCCTGAATATAAGCCTTGCATTTCCCCCCAAATTCCGACCGTGGAAAGTTAAAGCGTGGCTTAAATTTGAGACCTTACAAAAATGGGCTTTTACGATATCACTGTAGGATTTTCTTGTACATTTGCCATTTACACGTGTGAGTGCCTGCAGAATTTTAAGGGAGCGGCTTATATTCGGGTATTGTCTCCCCCCCCCCTTTGAATTTTAAAGGTATGGCTTATATTCCGGCCAATACGGTATATCTATATTTGGAAAGCAGGTTGCCAACTTATTTCACAGCTTGCACTCCTGTGCCGCAATCAGCAGCTGGACCGGCAGACTTTGCCAAATGTTTATCACTGTGCTTCTGCAAACCTAGCTTGTGCAGCCTATCTCCTTTCCTTTCCTTTCCGGTCAACTAGCAACTTTATGTGGAAAGGGCCAAACTAGTCTTAAATAACTTTGCTCCCCCCCCCTTGCTGGATTGCCACTTTTTTCATAGTCCCTGCTCCTACGCCTTTTGGACAGTAGCCTTAAAATGAGCAGCTGAAGCTTTTATCAGCACGGGCAAAAATCCAGACAGAGGTGGTTTTTTCCTGGCATTCAAATCTCAGATAGGTCTGGGAAACCCCGGAGATATAATAATAATAATATTTTTTTATTTATACCCTGCCCTCCCCAGCCAAGGCCGGGCTCAGAGCGGCTTACAAGCAATAATAAAAACAAGATGAATGATTACAACTTATAAACAAAAATAAAATACAGCATTAAAATAATGGAACATTAAAATATTAAAATGTAGCCTCATCGCAGGAGGAGAAGGAAAAGAAAAAAGAAAGAGAGGGAGGAAGGGAATCAAATTGGCTCCAAGCCAAAGGCCAGGCGCAACAACTCTGTCTTACAGGCCCTGCGGAAAGAAATCAGATCCTGCAGGACCCTGGTCTCATGAGGCAGAGCGTTCCACCAGGCCGGAGCCAGTGTTGAAAAGGCCCTGGCTCTTGTTGAGGCTAATCTGACTTTCTAAGGGTCCGGGACCTCTAGGGTGTTGCTATTTATGGACCTTGAGGCTCTCCGTGGGGCATACCGGGAGAGGCGGGCCCGTAGGTACGAGGGTCCTGGGCCGTGAAGGGCTTTAAAGGTCAAAAGCAGCACCTTAAATCTGACCCTGTACTCCACCGGGAGCCAGTGCAGCTTGAAAAGCACTGGGTGAATATGCTCCCATGGCAGGGACCCCGTGAGGAGCCTCGCTGCAGCATTCTGTACCCGCTGGAGTTTCTGGGACAGCTTCAAGGGCAGCCCTGCGTAGAGCGAGTTACAGTAGTCAAGCCTGGAGGTGACCGTCGCATGGATCACTGTGGCAGATATGGCAGCCCTAGGCAAGTACTGGGGAAAATCTTCCAACAATGTTCTATGCCCCACCCCCAAAGGATACAGGAGTTGGTTTAAAAGGCAGAAAATTCCCACTGTCTTTTCTGACCCTACAATTTTAAATTTATTTAGAGCCAAAACTTCTAGAAATGGATGGTGAATTGATAGGAGTGCGCTGAGATCGCATTAGGGGTTGCCAACTGACCAGAAAATCTGCCTGCTGTTGTGCCCTACACACACACACTTATTTATTGATACTCATCCATAGATATACAAAAATACATACACATTACAAACTAGCTTTTTTTATAATATGCTAAGATAAAACAGCTACTTAGTCTAAAAAAGAACAAAGCCAGAAAGAAGAAAACACAAGACAAGGAGAGACCTACAGAAAGAGAAAGCGAGAGAGAAGAGAAAGAACAGACTAAAATAAAATAGAAGAAAAATGACTTTTGGCTCTCTGTCCTACACATGACATTCGTTTCTTAAACCACAACCATTCTGTCTTCTATAAAGTAGTGTTTTTAAAATATCCAAATCCCAATAGTACACATTCATTTCCTCTATCCTGCAAAAAGTCCATAAGAAATTTCCAATCCTTAACCAGTGCCAGCAATGATTTTTCTCTAATTAAACATGTCGGCTTTGCCATCTCAGCCAGCTCCAATAATTTTATCTGCCGTTCTTTTAGAGCGGGTCTCTTGTGCCCTTGATATATAGGAGGCCTGCCTGCAGAGACTGGCAGAGCCAAGTCTTTCATGGTGTCAAAATAACAGTAGTAGTAGTAGTAGTAGTAGTAGTAGTAGTAGTAATAATAATAATAATAATAATAATAATAATAATAATTTATTATTTATATCCCGCCCATCTGGTTGGGTTTCCCCAGCCACTCTGGGCGGCTTCCAACAGAACACTAAACTACAATAACCTATTAAACATTAAAAGCTTCCCTAAACAAAGTGCCGTTGCAGTTGGCAGCAGCGAGAACATTTGCAGCAGCGAGTGGCAATCCAAGGAGCTGGGGGGGAACCTCTGGCCCTCCACAACTCTCTCGCTGGCCCCTGGAATCCTCCCCAGGCCATGCCTTTCACGGGTGCTGCTGCTCCAGAACCTCCCTGGGGGCGTTTGCCTGGCGGGACTGGGTTCCCCGAACTTCGACAATGCCCCTTGCTTGCCTGGACAGAGGATAGGGAGGTGTTTGCGTGTGGAGACTAACCTCCTGCGCAAAGGAAAAACTGAGCATTCTATGTTAATGGCTAGAAATTGGAGGGGGGGGGGCAGGACACCAACAAAGGAAGATGGCAAGATAAATTGTGTTTGGAATTAGCAAGAATGACAGAGGCAATTAGGAACCAGCCAAACCAAAATGTCAAAAGAGGGAAAAAAAGAAAAAGAAAAAAGGAGTGGGAACGTGTAAAAGATTATCTGGGGAAACATTGTTCTCAGATAAAAACCCTTGATATGTTCCGACTAAATTTTGCAACATGAAGGTCAGATAGATGAGATATATTACCTATTAGAAAGGCAGTAAGGAAAAACAAGGCACGCGGGTGGCGCTGTGAGTTAAACCACAGAGCCTAGGGCTTGCCGATCAGAAGGTTGGCGGTTCGAATCTCCGCGATGGGGTGAGCTCCCGTTGCTCGGTCCCTGCTCCTGCCAACCTAGCAGTTCGAAAGCACGTCAAAGTGCAAGTAGATAAATAGGTACCGCTCCGGCGGGAAGGTAAACGGCGTTTCCATGCGCCACTCTGGTTCGCCAGAAGTGGCTTAGTCATGCTGACCACATGACCCGGAAGCTGTACGCCGGCTCCGTTGGCCAATAAAGCGAGATGAGCGCCACAACCCCAGAGTCGGTCACAACTGGACCTAATGGTCAGGGGTCCCTTTACCCTTTACCTTAAGGAAAAACAGCACAGCAGAAAAGAGAACGAAGACAGAAGAAGCCGCACTGAGGTGGTGGGAAGAAATATTGCGTAGAAATGTTGTTATTGTTTGGTTTTTATATGTGTGCAATATATGTTAAAAAGTGAATGGAATATGTAGATGAATAACCAGTTTAAAACTCAATAAAAAGCAATTTAAAAAGAGGAAGAAGGAAAAACTTAACATTCTCCACCCTACTCACTTTTGCCTCTGGTGCAACGCTAAGAAAAAAGGATGGCCCTTTCCCCATTACATTGTGGTTAAAGAAACAGGAGCCTTTCTTTGAAAAAGGTGGCGACCGAGCGGTTTGGTACTTACTTGAGATTTGCAAATAATAAGAGTCTGAGAGGTTTCTCCCTACAAATTGTTGCCCTTGGCCTGTTTGCTGGTCTGGGCCGGGCTGAATCACCACGGTGTAGTTCGCTGCATCGGACTGCGTCAACCTCGCGATATACAAGGAGCACCCGTCTCTCAACGTCTCCCGTCCGGTGTGTCCAGGGCCTTTTTCTGGCTGCCCCTGAGTCTGCCCAAATTGCGTGAAGATGTTCTCCACTCTCCCCGAGCGGCTTTGCCGGAACCACTGGCACTGCGCGAACTGCCGGGGGGCGTTCCTCAGAGACAGCTTGACATCCTTGCCCACAAAAGTCTCAATTGGCTCAGAGGTCAAAGACAACTGGGGTTGAAATTGTGCTGGCACCAGCTGCAACATGCAGCTTAGGAGGAAACCTAAGGAAAGGGGAGGAAAAATGGAGTAAGACTTCTTCTACAGGGCAGTGGTCTAACACACACAATAACATACCCTCCAACATTTCTCCGGTGAAAATAGGGGCGTCTTATTCCTTAACACTCCTGCCAACCTAGCAGTTCAAAAGCACATCAAAGTGCAAGAAGATAAATAGGTACCGCTCCGGCCGGAAGGTAGATGGCATTTCCGTGCGCTGTTCTGGTTTCGCCAGAAGCGGCTTAGTCATGCTGGCCACATGACCCGGGAAAACCGTTTGTGGACAAATGCCAGCCCCCTCAGCCTGTAAAGCGAGACGAGTGCCACAACCTCAGAGTCGGTCACGACTGGACCTAATGGTCAGGGGTCCTTTTACTTTTACCTTTATTCCTTAACAACAACAACAGTTTTATTATTCTTGCCCCTGCCCATCTGACCGGGTTGCCCCAGCCACTCTGGGCGGCTTCCAACATATATAAAAACAACTTGAAACATGATACATTTTTTAAAAAAACTTCCCTATACAGGTTTGCCTCCAGATGTCTTCTAAAGGTTGCATAGTTACTTATCTCCTTGGCTGGGGGGGGGGCGGGATTTGGATAGCTCCATACACTCCAACATTTCTCTGATGGAAATAGGGACACCCTACTGTACACTCCGATATTTATCAGGTGAAAATAGGGATGTCCTAAGACTCTTGAGAGTCCCATGGACTGCAAGAAGAACAAACGCATCCATTCTTAAGGAAATCAGCCCTGAGTGCTCACTGGAAGGACAGATCCTGAAGCTGAGACTCCAATAATTTGGCCACCTCATGAGAAGAGAAGACTCCCTGGGAAAGACCCTGATGTTGGGAAAGATGGAGGGCACAAGGAGAAGGGGACGACAGGGGACAAGATGGTTGGACAGTGTTCTCGAAGCTACCAGCATGAGTTTGACCAAACTGCGGGAGGCAGTGGAAGACAGGAGTGCCTGGCGTGCTCTGGTCCATGGGGTCACAAAGAGTCGGACACGACTAAACGACTAAACAACAACAAAGGAAAAATGGGGCATTCCAGGATCAATTCAGAAACTGGGACAGCTTTGGTAAATCTGGGGCCGTCGCTGGAAAAGAGAGGCACTTGGAGGGTCTGCCATAAAGGACAAAGGAAGCTGGGTCTTTCTGTGCTTCAGGGTGTGGCAGAAAATGGTACCTTGAAGGGGAAAAGAGGAAGTTTGCTCTTCCGAACTGAAGATATCGGGCCAGCCTGCCCATAAGAAAGAGAAAGGCGGTCAGCTCAGGAGGCAGATTTGGGTCCAAGGAGCACACTGCCTACTGCCATGGCACGCCTCTGCCCCACTAGGAGTGTGCCCTCCTGCTGAGGGCACCCCCTGCCACCTCCCCCATCATGGGTGCATCCCACCACTTGTTTCTGCCTGTCACCATGTCCTCCTTTTGTGCACCCTAAAATCATAGAATTGGAAGGGATTCCAACCCCCTGCAATGCAGGATTCTCAGTGAAAACAAGCTGTTCTGCTGCGGCGGCTGCTTTGCTGCCAGCACCTCAGCTGCAGGTGTTCCTGCTGCAAGGAGGAGGCAGATTGTGGTCTGGGGGCAGCAGTTTCCCCCCCTCCCCGTCTCAAGTGGCAAAATGTCCCCTTCTGGCACTATGCCTTGTGCAACCAGGCTGTTGATCCATCTAACCAGGGAGCCACATTTTAAGAAGGATATCGGCAAGCTGGAACGTGTGCAGAGGAGAGTGACCGAGGAGATCAAGGGCCTGGAAACCAAAGCCTTATGAGGAACAGTCGAAGGAGCTGGGTTAAGAGGAGATATGAGAACCGTCTTCAAATATCTCAAGGGCTGCTGCCACGTTGGAAGATGGAGCGAGCTTGTTTTCTCCGGCTCTGGAGGGTAGGACTCGAACCCAGGGCTTCAAGTTACAAGAAAGGAGATTGTGACTAAACATCAGGAAGAACTTTCTGGCAGTAAGGGAGTTCGACCAACAGTGGAACAGACTCCCATGAGAGGTGGTGGACTCTCCTTCCTTGGAGGTTTTTAAGCAGAGGTTGGGTGGCCATCTGCCAGGGAAACTTTTGCTGGGATTCCTGCATTGCAGGGGGTTGGAGTAGATGACCCTCGGGGTCCCTTCCAACTCTACAATTCTGTGATTCTGTGACTCTTTTGCCTGCACTGAACGGCAGCGGCTCTCCAGGGTTTCAAAGAATGGACAATCCTAGCCTGACCTGGAGAGCCAGGAATTGAACCTGCAGCCTTTTGAGTGCAAGAAAGATGCTCTGCTGCTGCCCTTTCCTCAGCTTACCTGCCAGAAACATGACCTTCCGTGCTCCCTGTCGGCTGTTGGGAAGACCCATCGCCTTTTTCGCCTGCAGCCTGCGAAACTTCAAACACTTCCAGGAATCAGGACGGACGGACGGACGGGCAGAGCCTCTTCTCTGGACAAAGTCTGGGTGCCTCTGCTCCACGTCCCTCTGCCTGCGACACTCGCTTCCTCCCCTCTGCCTGTTTCTCCTTTTGTCCTGCAGAAAAAAAGGAAGGAAACGGGTACCGTAACACAAGGTCGACACATCCCTGCCTTCTTTGGTTCGTTTATTTTGCCGTTTCTGAGTTACACCATCTCAAGGTGACTAAGGCTGAGTCCTGGCAGTTCAGCCCTGTAGTGCAACTCCAGAGGTGTGGGGGGAAGCGGGTCACTGGGTTCTTGTGGGGCTGGCAGGGGAGATCAGCTGTCGCCCCTTCCATGCACAGAAGGGATTATTTATCAGTAGAGTGTCCTCAATGTACATTGTTAGCCAGGCAACACAGACAGGTCTCTGCTCTCAAAGCGCTTACAGTCTGCTATAGTGACGCAACAACACAGGGAGGGAGGGAGGGAAGGAGGGAGAACAGGCAACTACCATGCTTTAGTCTTGGCTGCAATCCTAACCGCACTTACCCAGGAGTAAGGCCCACTGAATTCAGTAGGACTTACTTCTGAGTAGGCACAGTTAGGAAACATGTGACAGTTCATAAGGATGGAAAGGCCTGTCAATTTTAGGTCTCTCAGTGTCTCATGTTTCCACTCTTAAATTCAGTTCTTACATTCAGAGGGGGAGATTTTCAGCTCCGAGGGCCACATTATTTGCTTCGAAACCTTCTGGGGGCCACATGCCAGGGCAGGTAGGGCCAGAGGCAAACAATTCATGCAAATATTACCTTTGCGCAGTAGGCTGCTTTGCGGCTCATCTTCAGGAGAAAGGCTCAGGAGTGAACGCTACACAAATGTGGAGTGGAGTCTCTAAGACGGTTGGATGGCACCTTGTACGCCTCGTTCCGGCAGCTCCTGCTGCCAAGCTGGTGTCAAACTTTTGTTCTGCCTTCCTTTGGACCACATCAGCGAGGCTGAGAGGGGGGTCTTGTCCTCTGGGCAGCTCAGGACCTCCATGCACACTGCTCAGGATCGCACCCCAGGGAGTTCAGTCTGGTGCTGCAAATGCAGCCAAAACGACGCTGGAGGCAGCAGTTACGAGACTCCACAGCCACAGCAGGCGCTGCGATTCTCCAGCACTTTGACTTCACCTCCAGAAGCGCACTCCATTGTCTCTTGAGGCAGACGGATGCCAAAAGCTGTAAAACAGCAGGCTCATTCGATGCACGCCTTTCTTCAGCACCCAAACATTCAAGAGGCATTATCGGATTTCAAGGACGCATTCCACTCAGGCCAAAGCACTCAAAGGGTGTAAGGAGGGGTCTTGCACGTGGAGCATCCCAGGGGCCAGGAATAAACCCCCAAAGGGCCGCATTTGTCCCCAAGGCCTGAAGTTCCTCAGTCTACCAGATGCCATGGTGGAATCCGGCTGGTGGAAGAGGCACCTGGTAAGAAGACGGGGAGCAGGAATGGGCAGGTACCTTGAGGGCCAGGTTACGTGTAGGACTAGGACCTGGCGGACCAGGGTTCGAATCCCCACTCAGCCATCAATGAACTGTGACCTTGGGCCAGTCACTTTCCCTCTCAGCCTAACCTACCTCACGGGGTTGTTTGGGGGGATTCGTTGAGGAGCAGGAGAACCACGTGCGCCACCTTGGGCTCTGTGGTGGTGGTAGGAAAGTGAGTATAAAAGCAAGAAGTTTGACACGATGCAAAATCGTCCAGGGCTTTGGCAACAGGGGTAAAGGGAAGGTAAACAGATGGAGGCCTCCTCCTTCAGCAGCCAAACATCCTCAAAAGGGATACCAGATTGGCCAGTTCAATTTGTATGCTGTTGGGAGGTTGTTGTTGTCTTGTTGGGCTGTATATGAAACAAAGGGGAGCCACACTGGGGTGAAGGTGTCCTCTTTTCTTTGTTCCTGTGTTCATTTCAATTTTTATTTTATTTTTTGGTTAGCTTTTCTTGTAGGGCTGTTTCCCATACAGTTTGGTACCAGCCGTCCATGTTCACTCCTGACAGGTCCCTCCAGAGTCCAGCTGAAAAATACTCGGAGTCGAGAGTTGGATTTCATGCTCTTTATTCAGCTCATAGTGGTGAGGAGGAATGCTAGTTCCCCCAAAGTATCTGTTTTATGTACATTATTTACACAATGGGCTGCATGTGATTGGCCAATTCCGGGATTCTCCTGTAGGCCAATCAGGTTGTGGATTCACTTCCATCTGGAGCTGGATTGGGTGGCTCCTGCGGACCAATCATACTGCTGCATTGTTCTAGGACCAATCAGACTGCTGCATTCTGAATCCTATTGTTCTAGGACCAATCAGACTGCTGCATTCTGAATCCTATTGTTCTAGGACCAATCAGACTGCTGCATTTTGGATCCTATTCAACTCAGTACATAACACCAGTTTTGACACTCTTAAGCAAAACCCAATGCAGTCAACTAAATACAACCAACCAAACTCTGGGCTCTCCAACCTCTCGCACCACCAACGGAAACAAACAAACAAACAAACAAACAAACAAACAAACAAACGAATGAAGAACCTGCCCTCACAACTCTGAAACCAAACTCTGCTATCGTCTTCATCTTTGGTTGTTCATTTTTGTTTTTCATCATTGTGCTGGTTCTGCAGACTGAAGTGGTCGAAAGGGTGCATGTGAGGCTGAACATCTGGTTTAGCATCATGTTGGGAGTGGTTTTTCAGGCTGTGAAAGCTCTCAGCCTTACCTGGAGAGGCCAGGTATTGAAATTGGGACCTTCAGCATGCAGAGAAGGGGCTCTATGGCCCTTCCCTGGCTCTCTATAGGTGTACGAGGTCCACCCCCACTTTACCTGTCTCCCACCACCCTATGCCACTAAGAAGTGCAACCTCTATTTCCTGTTGCTTGCCTGCCCGTTGCAAAACAGCAGCATCGGTTCCATGATGCAACGCGTGGCTCTTGCTAGCTTCCTGGCAAGAATTAGGAAAGAAAGTTACGAAGTCCGTTTCCCTGCTGTCACCACCGCCTGACAAGCAGCCGTTCAGACTGGAGCAATGCAGCAACCGAACTGACGAAAGTCACAAAAAGAGACACACTCCGATGGAGAGACGGGAGAAGTGAACGCTGCCAACTAGTGGCCATGCTGGGGTGCGCAGCTTGTTGTGGTATCCTTGCAAGTCTTCAAGCAGGTGGTTGAAACCTGTGGCCACTGGTCTGCTGTGTGGACTCCAGTCCCCACCAGACGCAGCCAGCATGATGGGAGTTGTAGTCCAGCAATATCCAGAGGGCCACAGGCTCCCCATCTCTGCTTTAAACAATTGCATAGTTTATATCATTGTTAGGTGCTCACCTTCACAATGGCCCTGCTAATGGTTTTTAACAGAGCAGGAAATGATTTGGGAGAGGCAGCACTTCCTATGGTGTACAGACATATTTTATTTCTCTCCCCATTGCCTCCAGAAAATTTCCAGGTTTTGTAGTTCATGCAGGTCCTGCTGTCCAAATGCTCGTTAAACAAAAATTCGCTTGTTGAAATATGAGGCATTCGTACCTAAACTTTGCTATGCACAGTGAGATTCAGATATCCAAACAGCCAGACCTGCGTGTGTTACTGTAAACAAATAAGCAGCCTTAATCTGGAAATATAGAAGCATAGAATCATCGAACTGCAAGGGACCCTGAGGATCATCTGGTCGAACCCCCTGCAATGCAGGAATATGCAGCTGTCTCACCTGGGGATCGAACCTGCAACCTTGGTGTTATCAGCACCATGTTGTAACAAACTGAGCTATCCAGTTGCCCAAGCACTGCTGCTGTGAGGGAGGGGGAGTGATCAGACAAAGAACAGAGTATATTTTCCCTTCCTTGTTTGGCTTTTGCAAGGTTTCAGAGGGTTTTCCTGTCCGCCACCCCCCCCCCCATCATTTTTGGTTCAAAATTCTGTGGTTGGGAACACATTAGAAGTTTACCCATAGGAATCAATGTAAATCACTGACTTGTTATCCAAACACTGACCTAAAAAATGATTCCCTGACAATGTGTTGTGTTCAGGCAGCAGGACCTGCATGTAGCTCAAAATCCTATCTAACCTGTTTACCGGAGGCAGAAGTAGGATATGTGTTTGTGACCCAATAGCCATCTGACTTTTAAAGAATTTTCAGGCATGTTCTTGGCCAGGGTGGGGGTGGGGATATCTATTGCCTTTCTGCAACCTTAAGTGTTCGCCTAGCATTCCATACCCCTCTTCAACATCAGCTTCATTGGACTGGTCATGTTGTGCAGATGCCTGATTATCGTCTTCTAAACTTACTCTATTCCAAACTTAAAAATGGGAAGCGTAATGCTGGTGGTCAACAACAGAGTTTTAAAGACTGTCTCAAGGCAAATATTTAAAAATGTAGTATAAACACTGTCAACTGGGAAACACTGGCCTGCGAGCGCTCCAGTTGGAGAACAGCCTTTACCAAAGGTGTCGTGGGCTTTGAAGACACTCAAACTCAGGACACAAGAGAGAAACATGCTAAGAGGAAGGCACACTTGGCAAATCCACACCGTGATCAACTCCCGCCCGGAAACCAATGTCCACACTAGAAGGACGTGTGGATCCAGAATTGGCCTCCACAGTCACTTACGGACTCACTGTTAAAACCATGTTTATGGAAGACAATCTTAATAGCCAAAGAAGAAGAAGACATCTCATTGAGAGGAGGATGTATCTTAATCCAATGCAAACAAACAAGTTGCATAATCCAGAATGACTAGGTTTATTACATTGCAAACACAATACAACGAGAAGAAGCCAGCTGCCAAATACTTGGCCAGCTGCTTCAAGACTGTCTCAGTTTTCGGTCTCTGTGGCCTCTTTGTTCAGCCTCCTCTTCCACATCTTTTCTTATGTTCCCGTTTCAATGCACCATCTGCTTTGTTGCCCTTCTTTAGTCCTCAGTTCTGGTGCCAGCTGGCCAGAAGAAAAACGCAGGGAGGAAGGTCAAGTTTGTTAACCTCAGCTTGAGCAGCAAAAAAGGCAGGGTGTGATGCTTCTTATCTTGTGCATGTAAGCATTACCACCTGCTAGCATTCGCAAAGGAAGGTGTGGTTGCGGGCACAGGAGTATGAGCTTGCCACAAAGTTGTCTTTGGTGATCACTTGTAGCCAAGTAGGATTGTCTTCCATAAACATGGTTTTAACAGTGACTCCGTAAGTGACTGTGGAGGCCAATCCACACATCCTTCCAAAGTGGGGACATTGGTTTCCGGAAGGGAGTTGATCACGGTGTGGATTTGCCAAGTGTGCCCTCCTCTTAGCATGTTTCTCCCTTGCGTCCTGAGTTCGAGTGTCTTCAAAGCCCACGACACCTTTGGGAAAGGCTGTTCTCCAATTGGAGCACTCACAGGCCAGTGTTTCCCAGTTGTTGGTGTTTATACTACATTTTTAAATATTTGCCTTGAGACAGTCTTTAAAATTCTGTTGTTAACCACCAGCATTATGCTTTCCATTTTTAAGTTCTGAATAGAGTAGTTGCTTTGGAAGACGATCATCAGGCATCTGCACAACATGGCCAGTCCAACTAAGTTGATGTTGAAGAATCATTGCTTCAACACTGGTGATCTTTGCTTCTTCCAGTACAGTGGTATTAGTTCGCCTGTCTTCCCAAGTGATGTGTAAAATTTTTCGGAGACAGCGTTGATGGAATCTTTCAAGGAGTTGGAGATGGTGTTTATAAGTGGTCCATGTTTCACAAGCATACAGTAAGGTTAGTAGCACAATAGCTTTGTAAAAAGCATTTTGGTTTCCCTGCGAATGTCCTGGTCCTCAAACACACTGCACTTCAATCGGAAGAAAGCTGCACTCACAGAGCTCAGGCGATGCTGGATTTCGGCATCAGTGTCAGCCCTTGTGGAAAGATAACTGCCCAGGTAGGAGAAGCTTAAAGCCACAAAGTTGGCAACCCTGGTCTCTAAGCTCCTTGTCCCATAACTTCTTTAGTTTTTTCTCCCTGTCCTCCTCAGCCAGAGCTACGCCTGTCAGTATTTCACTTGGACTGTTATGGGTTCCCTGGTCCAAACGCAGCAAGGAAACAGCACAATTTTCAGCGCTTTTTACTCAGAAGTAAATCCCATTGTATTCTGCAGGGCTCATTGCAGGGGCAGATCACCTATCTGAAAGTGCCAGGTGTCAGTTACCTGTAGGGATTGGGGGAGAAATCCGGGCCTTCTTCATTTGCACATTCTGAAACAATACAAGAACCCAGACTCAGCCATCCTATGAAATTTGCAGTTCCCTGAATTTTGCAATGCATTTCTTCAACATTATAATGTGTACAAAATTGCATTTGATAGGATAACACCTGCACAAACATGTATTTATATATCAGCAAAAACAGCAAATGAGAACACATTATATAAGGGAACACTGTTTTGCAAAAATGTTTCTGTTAGGGGAAACGGCACATGAGCACCTGCATATTGGGAGAACTTTGCACACAAATGCTGATGATTTTCATGACTCCCCCCAACCCCAACGTTAATAAACGAATGAGGAAATGTGGAGATCTGCTGCCTCTCCTGCCCTTAGAGAGTGATAGCAATCTGAGAATAATGCATGAAGAATTAGGGGCATTCTTATTATCAGCTGCTTGAATGGACAGTTCAGCTAAGTGGCAAAGAGGAGCTGATGTGGTGTAGTGGTTAAGAGTGGTGGACTCGTAATCTGGTGAACTGGGTTCGCGTCCCTGCTCCTCCACATGCAGCTGCTGGGTGACCTTGGGCCAGTCACACTTCTCTGAAGTCTCTTAGCCCCACTCACCTCACAGAGTGTTTGTTGTGGGGGAGGAAGGGAAAGGAGAATGTTAGCCGCTTTGAGACTCCTTCGGGTAGTGATAAAGCGGGATATCAAATCCAAACTCTTCTTCTTCTTCTTCAGTGTGGGATAAATAGAATATGAGAAATAGTTCTCTCAGAGCATCTCACTCACCATAAGAGTGTGGTTTGTGGGCAATCTAAAAAGGGCCGGTTTGATGGAACTTGCTTTCTGTTCCTCAATTCTGTAAGCAAATCCACCAGCTCAGTGGATTTCTGTTCCTATATTATGTCATCGTTTGGAAAGGGAACTTTCAGGTTGATTTGCAAACCTTAAGCCATCCCAAGAAGCAGGGCTGTGAAAAGACCCTTTGTTGGACTCTGGACAGCACCATCAGGGCAGCCCAAGCAGACACCGCTACACTAGATGGACCAAATGGGCTGACCAAAAAACAGCTACACATATGTTCTGCCTGATTTTGCTGGAGTCAGGAACACAGGCAGAGCCCAGGTGAAGAAACTTTGAACATTCCGTGACATCACCTCGCCTCACCCAATCAGCACCAGAGGCCTCACTGCTGCAGTTGCTATGCAGACGCATACACACACACACACACACACACACACACACACACACACACACAAATATCAGCGTACACTTTCTATGTGCTTAATTTCTTGAGACAAGACGTGTTTGGGAACAAACTTTATCTTGACGTTTGGCTCCTTATTTACAGAAGTGTGGAGCGGTGCCTATTGTTCTTCCGCAGTGATGGTAAAACACACACCGCACCTGTTCAGAAATGCTGGCTGATTTGCCATTAATAGGGTTGCCATATTTCAAAATATATTTTGCAGGAAAGTTGTTGCACTTCTTTTTTTCCTCATTTGCCAAAGTAGTTGTTGTGCTCTTTTTGCAAAAGGCACATAGGTTGCCATGGGCCTGGGTCTTTCTGGACATTTTAAACGATTCCACCCAGATGCTGTTTCCGACAGACAAATCCCGGACATGTCCAGGAAATTCTGGACTTATAGCAGCCCTAAATTACAACAAAGCCTTTGTGACGTTCCCTTGCATGTTCAAAATGGGCCTCGAGGGCTAGTGGCTGCCAAGCCTGCTCTAGAACGGAAACTTTGTCACCCGAGATACTTGATGCCTCCAGTATGCAAATAAGGCATGGTAAACAAATGCTTCATGGGAGCTCAGTTTTGTTGAGAGATGAAAGAGACCCCTCTGACTTTTCTCTGCTGCCCGCATCCCTTGAAACAGTGTCCGATGGGGTGTGTCTTCAACCTTGCACCACGCAAGCCTTCGTTGGACAGAAGTCTTCATTGTTCCCTCTCTTTGCATAACAGGTATCGGCTGGGATTAACTTTTTTGTGACTCTGAATGGGTTGAAAGGGAAGAACCACAGCACATCTTATTCTGGCACCTCTGTCCTCCCAGACCCCGGCTGTCACCCCCTCCCTCGTGGACACATCTCTCAGCAAAATAGGCAAAGCATAGGTGGGATTTGCCAAAATAGACAATTGAAACCCCATTGCGTGCTAATGTCCCAGACAGAGATCTGATGCAACAGAAGCCATCCACACACTGGAGTCTTCTCTTGCTTGGGAGAAGAAGCAGGGAAAGAGGAGAATTTAGGGAGAGAGTTTTTTTGCAGGGGGTCAAAAAGTAGGGTAAGGTTAGCAAATCAGCCTGAAAGTCCTCTTGACATTGCACAAACGGTGCATTTGCTCCAGCTCTGAGCGTGTGAGGAAAGCCAATGGAACATCTATTTGCCAGCCCAAGGTCAAAGCTTTGGTCAATATTTCTTCTTGCAGGTAAGGAAGATCCAAACAGGCAAAGGAATTGGCCACAGTAATTTGGGTCAGAACCATAGAACAGTGGTCAGAGGAGCTTGCAAAGATGAAATGAATGACTTTCCTTGCCTTTATGCAAATGTTGATGCTGAATTTCCACTTGATGTTGTGGATATTCGCAACGTTCCCAAGATTCGTCAAGTATTTGTTGTTTTTGTGGTTGACCTGGAATGGTATGTAGGCTTTCGGTCTTTGCCAGAATATGGTGGTGAACATGCAGCGGTGTCTCTAATACCAACAGTATATCATAAATGAAGTGAAACGGTAAAAATACCAGGTGTTCTGGAAGTTTATATTTGACACCTGACGAAATCTAATCGAGAGACGACAACAAGTTGTGGTTGAAGTTTCACATTTAGAATTTTGAGCAGGGGAATGGAATACGACATTTTGGCATGTTTCAAATGGTGGGAAATGTTTAGTTCCAGTTTTAGCAGATTGCACCCGGAAAGCCTTCAACAGCTGATGAGGAACAGAGTTACACCTTACGGGTGCATAGTTGCACGGCTATTTCCTGTGTCTACAGGTGAAATGCCTTAGTGCAAAATTTGAGATCTGGGGTGCTCATGAAATAAGTTGCTGGACAAAGCACTTGTCATCTGGCTAACCCTTCAACAGCTATGGGGCAGGTAGAAATTCAACAGGTAGGGGCATTTCCCATTAGTGCATCACCTTCTTGGGAATCATCGGTTTAAATTTCTGCTTGTTATACTGCTGTTAAAAACACAGGAGCTTTGCATGAAAGAAAAAAAGGGCAACTTTATTAGGGATACTGTACAGTGGTACCTTGGGTTACATACGCTTCAGGTTACATACAGTTCAGGTTATAGACTCTGCTAACCCAGAAATAGTGCTTCAGGTTAAGAACTTTGCTTCAGGATGAGAACAGAAATCGTGCTCCGGCGGCGTGGCAGCAGCAGGAGGCCCCATTAGCTAAAGTGGTGCTTCAGGTTAAGAACAGTTTCAGGTTAAGAACGGACCTCCAGAATGAATTAAGTACTTAACCCGAGGTACCACTGTACATCGTGCATGATTTGGAGTGGAAAGATGAGCTATCTGAGGAAAGAACTGGAAAAACTGCTGGTTCAAAAAGGGAAAGATCCATCAATATAAGATTTTGCATTTACTTTGATTTTATTCTTGCAGAATCAATCATCCTGAGCTCCTTTGTCCCGATGGCCCTGGGAGAAACAGAGAGGGTGATTTCTGCCACGGACCAGAGTGGGATCTTCACCACAGAGGAAACATCACAAAGCTCCCAGTTTTGTCAGTGATCACTGAGACCACAACCACCACCCTTGTTTCCTTACCACTTAATTATTGGGTGGGGGGTTAGATCCTCAGGACAAAGGGATGGGACCAGACTCTCTTTCCCCAGTGCCATTGCTTCAGCCAAAGTTTGAGTCCGACACAGCTTCTTTGAAGTGTGAAAATAAAAACAGCCGGGGGATCCCATTGTGGATCCTTCACATCGCATGGAGTTTGGCCCCTCATAACTAAGCCTCAAGCCTGTTTCTGGAATGTTCTGGAATGTGACTAGAACGTTCCAGAACGTTGAGAGAACATGATGTTGGGAACGAGGTTTTGAGTTCTGTGGTGGGGAAAAGGACATAAATGTTCTGTGGAGGGAGAAAAGTGGATTATAAATAAAGACACCCCCCCCAAAAGCGCTGAAGCAGACCTTATTTTAGGGATTGCACCTTTCATCCTGACCTCACTGTTGATTTCTGTTCCTTTTTTTTAATTAAAAAAAAATGTAGACCGGGCAAAATCTGCCACAATAAGTCCCTCTGGAAACATCAGCCAGCTGTTGGGTTCCAGTCTGACTCTCATCTGTCGTGCTGCGGATTCGAATCCTGATATACAGTATAGATGGTATTTCAACAACACCGATGCAAACGTGACAAGCAGCAATCTGACCATTGAATCAATCTCCTGGAAAAATGAGGGGACCTATGTCTGCTGTATATCCTACCCTCAAACAAATGTCACAGCCTATGCAACTGTATCTCTGAGGATAAAAACAGACAATGGTGATTTTCTTGGCTATTCTGTCTGCCGGAGAGTTGCAGGGAGCTCATTCCAAGTTCAGTCTAAACATGTTTTCTCAGAAGTAAATCCCACTAGGTTGTGTCCAATTAGGTTTCCCTCAGAGTAGTCCCACTGAAGTAGGGCACAAAAGTTGCCGAGCTTTTTAAATCCCCAAGGAAATTTGAAGTTTTTGAGCTATTTCTAAGGAAATTTGCCCCAAAGTCAACACTTCTGGCGTGGGGGGTTGCCATACACCCGGGCGCTCCCAGACATTTTTTTTACAGACTTTCGGAAATTCAGCAATTTCCGACGGATGAATCCTGGATATTTCCGGATGTATGGCAGCCTGACACTGAAGTGACTGCGCCCAATTTAGGGTTCCTCTTTGCCGTATCCCCACAAGGAAAACCCACAGCTTATGGCTGAATTGGAAAAAACAGAAACTGGGTCTTTTTTGGCACATATTGTCATTTGTTCTGAATTAGCACTAAACAGAGAAAGTCAAAAGAATTCTGGGAGTTGTAGATTTTTAAGGGTGCTGAGACCCCCCCCCAAAAAAAAATTTCCCTCCCAGAGCTACAATTCCCAGAGCGGTTTAACAACCAATCCTTCTTAAATCCAACAGTTTTAAGGTAGAGCAAATATAGTATTAATATATATTGTTAATATTTGGGCTTTCATTCTCAAGAAATGAACTATTCTAAAAGCATGTAAATAATTCCTGTAGGCCAATATGATTTTGATAGTGCACTATGAAGCTAAAGATTTATTTTTACAAATTTTAGGGTTTCAGGTGTTATATATTAAGCCTTTACAGAGCTGATTGTACAAGAATGTAAAAGCTGCTGTTTTAAATTCATCTAGATTCTTGGACCAACTTTAAGTATTAAATCAATTGCATGATTGTGATATTAAGCTAGGCAGTTTGGCTGTTAGTGTACTTTTGTACTTGTAATTCTAAGAAAAGGAAATTCAATGCATAATAGTACATTTGAATTTATTTGATGGTGAACAAGTCACCTCTCAAAGCAATGAAAGGTGTAATTTTGATATTTTAAAATTATACATCTTTGCATTAGTAATTTCATACTGTCTCTTACACAAGGTTTAAAATAAATTTTTGTGGGACGGGGTGTGGGGAGGAAGGAGAAGGGGATTCTGAGCTGTTCGACAGTGGAACAGTCTCCCTCAGGAGCTGGTGGACTCTCTTTCCTTGGGGTCTTCAAGCAGAGGTCGGGTGGCCATTTGTCATGGATGCCTTAGCTGAGATCCGGGCATTGGAGGATGGTTGGCCTAGATGACCCTTCCAGCTCTACGATTCTGCGATTTATTTTGTTTTTCTTCTGCTTTAAAAAATAACTTTTTAGAAAAGAGAAGAAACTGCAACTCCCTCCATCGCTGACCCTGCTTGCTGGGTCCAGCAACCTCTTGAGGGTTTCCTCACGCCAGACTGGCAGGGTGGTACTGCTGCAGCCGCAAAAAAGGGTGAATGCAGCCCACAGGATATGAAAACAGCTTCCCCTTTGTGATGACAAACGGTGTGTCCTGTGCTGGGTTGCGATATCCATTTCTGACACATGCGCTGGGATTGGGCAAAGAATGCACAATGAGACATCTTGCTTAGCCTCTCAAAGCTAGAACATGAGAAAAGTCTGGCCAAAGACCTAGCTAGTCCGGCGTCCTGTTTTCACAACAGCCACACAGAAAAATAAAATAATAATAATAATGTGTGAGAGAACAAGAAGTAAAATCATAGGGGTAAAAAAAGAGGGGGGGGAATGTTCACACCACTCTTGCTTTTCTGTTCCAGAAACTTCTTCCGCTCAACTGCAGCTGCCTCTGACGGTGTTTGTCGGCATCGTGTTTGGGTTGGCGGCTGGGATTACTTTGATTGGTGCCTTGCTATACTGTTTCTGTGAGTAAAGCCCTTGAACTGGGAAGACTCGGACTCCTGGGTTCTGTTCCCAAGGGATGAGTGTTAGGAATGTCAAAGAGACTCTCGGCTTGCTCTGTATTTTAACACAAACCTACCTAATCTGCAGTCCGTGAAACTATCCTTCAAAGTTAGCTTATCTTCCTTGATACGATACGATACTCTTTATTGTCATTGTCCCATACAGAACAACGAAATTGAAAAAGTCTACATCAGACATTCAAAAACCAACAAGCCTGCTATCCCAGCTATCCCAGCCTGGTTAGCCCCCTAAAAACTCTGATACCCCATAATTAAATGCAATATATTCCCATAGAGACTACCTTACACTGCGTTTAAAACCAAAATCGCATTTGGATAGAAACTGTTTCTCAGGCGGCTAGTCCTAGTTTTTATAACCCTGTACCTTCTTCCAGAAGGCAGATGCTGAAAGAGATCATTTCCGGGGTGTGCACGATCCTGCGCTATCTCTGCAGCTTTCTTATGGCACCTGGAAGCATAGATTGGTGAATCAACGAAAAATCTTCAAGCCCTGGTCTTTGTGAAATATTATTTATTTATTTATAAAAAATAGTTACACGTCACTATTCTTCTTTGTGTCCCTCCTCCACGTGATGTCCAGAGGGTGGCAACACGAGAACAGGGCTTTTCTGCAGTGGCTTCCCGCTTGTGGAGAGCTCTCCTCCGGGCGGCTCGCCTGACCCCATCATTGCATTTCTTTAGACACCAGGGGAAAACGTTCCTCTTCAGCCAGGCCTTTGACTGATTGACATCCGATGCCCTTTTAAATCTATTGTGGGAGGAGGGGTGGGTAATTGGTTTTGTCCTGTTCTTAACTCTATCATGTGTTTTGTGTTTTTATATTCTGATTTTATGTTGTGAACTACCCCGGATGAAGGGCGGTATACAAATTTAAATAATAAGAATAAAAAATATTCATTTAAAAACCAGAGTGGTTTACAGCAATTGAACCTGAAACACTACAATAAAAACCATATTAAAAAGTTTTAAAATCTCTATAAACAGGGTAACCCAGAATACTGAGCCAATGGCACAACAACGGTTTCTTGTTGTTGTCAATCAGACCTTTGCCAATTTGAGGAGAGATCAGTGACACTCCTGTACATTGTCTCAGTAGTCAAGCTAGGCTATAATTATAAAAGGACCTTGAATCTGGCCCACTAGACAGAAGAAGTCCTTTTCTCCATTCTTACCTTATCTCCAGGTGTCCGCATTTGGAGGAAGAACCTGCAGCCGCCGCCACCACCACCGATTTCGACAATCCCATCCTTACCTAAGGACTTCTCTCGATCCAAAATGCTTGGTAGCAGAACCAGAGAAGTGAGTGATGTTTGAGACACATTGCAGCTAGAACAACCATTTTCACCTGGCACAGCAGAGGTTCAGCTAGTGCCTTCAAACCCAGGGCTGTGGGTTAAACCACAGAGCCTAGGACTTGCCGATCAGAAGGTCGGCGATTCGAATCCCGCGGCGGGGTGAGCTCCCATTGCTCGGTCCCTGCTCCTGCCAACCTAGCAGTTCGAAAGCATGTCAAAGTGCAAGTAGATAAATAGGTACCGCTCCGGCAGGAAGGTAAACGGCGTTTCCGTGCGCTGCTCTGGTTCGCTAGAAGCGGCTTAGTCCTGCTGGCCACATGACCCGGAAGCTGTACGCCGGCTCCCTTGGCCAATAAAGCAAGATGAGCGCCGCAACCCCAGAGTCGGTCACGACTGGACCTAATGGTCAGGGGTCCCTTTACCTTTAAGCTACTGAAGGTTATGGGGCCCTTTATATAGCAGGCTTACATCATAGGAGCCTACGCAACACAAAACATTGTTGCTGTATGTAGGTTTTATTTTATTTGTTTGGAAATGTACATCCAGTTCTTTTTTCCTTTAAATTTTTTTGGGCACCCCAAGAGAGTGGGGCCCTAAGCTATAGCTTGTTTAGCTTATATGTAAATCCGGCACTCCTCAAACCCAGAGCTCAGCCACCCATCCCTGCCCCATGACTACCCAGGGAATGGCAGCTGTTAGGGGCAGCGGCAGTCTTGGCACTGAGAGACAAGAGAGGTTTTTGTTACATTTGATTGTAGCACAAACCAACCTCGTTTGCACTCCCTGAATTAATACCTGAACCCTGAATTATTCTGTGCATTTCTTCAAGCAAAAACACTGTGCACCAAAGGGCATTTATTAGTTAAAACATACACGCTATGTGTATGAAGACTTAATTCTGTGGGTTTTTTGGGGAGGAGGGGAATGCATTTATATGTTAAAGTAAACCACACACAAGGGACGCGGGTGGTGCTGTGGGTTAAACTACAGAGCCTAGGACTTGCCGATTGGCAGTTTGAACCCCCGCGACAGGGTGAGCTCCCATTGCTCGGTCCCTGCTCCTGCCAACCTAGCAGTTTGAAAGCACTTCAAAGTGCAAGTAGATAAATAGGTACCGCTCCGGCGGGAAGGTAAACGGCGTTTCCGTGCGCTGCTCTGGTTCGCCAGAAGCACTTCCAGCCCTCCACAGAATTGCTTCTGCAACCTAGGAAACTTTCCTGTTTTCCTTTGTTTCAGACCAAGCTTGAGAACCCTGCTGAGCCCAGCACCATCTACCAGGTAAGTGTACACTTCCAGACTTGGGAAGAAAGAGACTAAGGGAAAGAGAATGAAATAGAGCCTGCCGCTCTTTTTGGCAAGCCAGCCGTGAGTCCGTTCTGGACTGTCTAGTCTGCTAGACGTGACACGAGACAAAACCCACCACCACCCACTGCTGTCTGTGGCTTTTACGGGCACAAAGTTTGCGCAGCCGCCCTGCTGCCTAGGCAAAGAATTACGACAGCGGTGGTTGTGTTGTTGTTGTTTTTATGTTCCTTTGGCAAGGCTGACTCATGCCACACTGTGACGCAGGGTTTGCTCATTGCATGACTCAGCGGATGGCTCAGAGCCTAACTGGCCATCGTTCTGCTTGTGGGGGAAGAATCCTGCCCACGCTGACTGCCCCGTGCAGGATCCTGCCTTGTTTTGAGTCAGCATTACCCACTCAAGTCTCGCGGTCACCCACCCAAATACCTGGTGCCTTGCGAATGTTCTTGGACCACAGCCCTAAACTGGAGATCTCCGGCGCAATATGATCTCAGGCTGCTTTTGGAGACAGTTTGGAAACTGCAGATGGTGCAGAATTTGGCGGACAGATTGGTGTTGGCCTTGCAGAGGTCAGCAGGAGGCTGGGGAAAAGGCTGGCTTGCTGATGTTTTCTCATGCTCTGATGGGTAGGGCCCAATAGCTTCAATTTACAGTGGCACCTCGGGTTACATACGCTTCAGGTTACAGACTCCGATAACCCAGAAATAGTGCTTCAGGATAAGAACTTTGCTTCAGGATGAGAACAGAAATCGGGCTCCCGCAGTGCGGCAGCAGCAGGAGGCCCCATTAGCTAAAGTGGTCTTCAGGTTAAGAACAGTTTCAGGTTAAGTACGGACCTCCAGAATGAATTAAGTACTTAACCCGAGGTACCACTGTACAAGGAACTACCAAAAGGATTAAGGTTTTCAATGACATTTTTTAGGTTATATTTTAGTGATCAAGATTTAATATATATTTTTAACTGCCACTATATCTGAATAGTCTCTGTTACACCCAATCGCAATTCAGTGTATTCCTGTTGTGTTTTATGGTTTTCCTGATATTGTAAGTGAGCTGGAACTGTGACCGTAATAATAAAATTCATTCATTCAATTTACAAGGAAGGGGATTCTGAGTGAAAAAAGCTGTCTGACAGTAAGAGCTGTCCGACAGGAGGTTGTGAACTCCTTCACTGGAGTTTTTTAAGCTGAGGTTGGATGGTCAATCAACAGGGAAGCTCCAGCTGAGATGAACCTCGGGGTCCCTTCCAACTGTACAATTCTATGATTTCATGATTGTACTCCGACACGCAGCAGCTCACTCAGGCCCCGATTCTATGGCAGAATGGTCGGCTAGGCCTACTGTCTTAAGATCCCTTTAACAGGAGAGGGATGAACCTAGGCGTCAGGTGTGGATTGCAACGGTGGTCTATGCCCCCCCCAAAGTTGGTTAAGCGTGCAAGGCAGGCAGATCAAACCCACAGCTGAACTGTCTCAACCTTTTGTCTTCAGGAGGTGCTGTGTGATGATGGGGCTGTGTATCAGGAACTGGAGAGGTAAGCCTCCCCCCCTCCGTTTCTGTGACTTCTCCTGGCTTTGGAAAGGAGGAAGGAGGACTCTGAGATGGCACTCCCATGGCTCAGAGCCCAGTGTACAGCCCTAAACCTGCCCCTGCCACCTTTCCGCATACAGAAGGTGACTGTACCAGCAGTTGAAAATTTAACTTCTAGAGAACATAACTCTAGTGAAGGGGCAATGCCTTCCCCTGCCCCTTGGGGGCAGCAGGATAACTTAGGGGGCACTGGGCACCCACAGTTCTGCCCTGCCCCACAGGAGCTCACTGCAGCTTATTGCCTGCCCCACCCCACATTTCCTGCACGTGCATTTCCTCAAATCCCATCGCTGAGTTTTTGGCATTGGAAATAAATTCTGGGCCAGATCCTGCGCCCTTGACACACATTCTCTCTCTCTCTCTCTCTCTCTCTCTCTCTCTCTCTCCAGGTGATTTCCGAGTGTAGCATCTACTGCATAGCAATAAGGACTTACGATACCTTCTCCCAGCTGAACGTTTCTGCCTAGATGCCTGTCAGCTGCAAACCCCAGCCAGGCCCTCTTTGATATACCTGCCGTAAAAACCCAGACTCTTCTCTAAATATAGTGCTTTAATTACATGGCATGAACGTGGCCTTAATGTGCATCCCTGCAGATCATTCTGAGGTAGAACTTTGAACGGTTTCATCTTCAATGTGTTGTTGTGTGGTTTTTTTTTTACTTTAAAAGAAAAACGCATTAGACTCTTTGTGCTTGTTTGCTTAAATATCAAAACGGTTAGAGAAAATGCATTAAACAATTCATATTTCACCATTTTTCTACTGTCTTATGTCTCTTTTTGACGGCAACCTGAAACAATCCAAACATTGGGTAGTTGGGTTAAATTACCGAGGATTGTTTACCATAAACTTGAATTGAACTGTGAACTGAGCGTGAACCGAACTAGGCTGTTTTATACAGGATCGAGCATGAACTGAAGTTAGTTCCTTTCTGGACGTGTCAAGTTGGAGCTAATTCCTTTTTGAAATTATATTTCCGAGATCTGGGCCCCACCCCCTGGAGCCCCCTGGCTTGGCCACTGCTGTTCACACATCCTGTCTAAGCAAGTAAAGAATGTATTGGATTTGTATCCCACCGCCCCTCCAAGGAGCTCAAGATGGCAGCATACATGGTCCCCCCCCCATTTTATCCTCACAACATCCCTGTGAGGTAGATTAGGCAGAGGGCTCATCCAGGCTGAATCCGAGCAAATGGCAATCAGGCTTTCCCAGGGACTGACATTTGTTCCAATTCACAGCTAAAGAGTGGGTTTTCTTGGGGCAAGTTGTGGGGAAAAGAGAAGAAGAGGAGGAGGAGGAGGAGGAAGAGGAGGAGGAGGAGGAGGAAGAGGAGGAGGAGGAGGAGTTTGGATTTGATATCCCGCTTTATCACTACCCTAAGGAGTCTCAAAGCGGCTAACAATCTCCTTTTCCCTTCCTCCCCCACAACAAACACTCTGTGAGGTGTATGGGGCTGAGAGACTTCAGAGAAGTGTGACTAGCCCAAGGTCACCCAGCAGCTGCATGTGGAGGAGCAGGGAATCGAACCCAGTTCACCAGATTACAAGTCCACCGCTCTTAACCACTACACCAGACACATGACTAGCAGAAGCATGGATGAGCCCTAAGAACCAGGCAGAGGGCCTTCTTGGTGGTGGCGCCCACCCTGTGGAATGCCCTCCCATCAGATGTCAAAGAAATAAACAACTATAGGACATTTAGAAGACACCTGAAGGCAGCCCTGTTTAGAGAAGTTTTTAATGACTGATGTTTTAATGTATTTTTAATCTTTGGTCGGAAGTGGCTGGGGAAACTCAGCCAGATGGGTGGGGTAGAAATAAATTATTATTATTATTATTATTATTATTATTATTATTATTATTGGCATTGACTGGTCCAAGGTCACCCAATGAGCTTCATGACTGAGTGGGAATTTGAACCCTGGCCTCCTAAGCTCCTAGTCCAACATTCTAACCACTGCACCACATTGCCAGGAGGTTGGCAATAGAGCACCAAGCCTGTACTTGCTTAGGAAATAAACAACTATCTGACTTTTAGAAGACATCTGAAGGCGGCCTTATTTAGGGAGGTTTTTAATGTCTGATGTTTTATTGTATTTTTTTAATATTTTGTTGGAAGCCGCCCAGAGTGGCTGGGGAAACCCAGCCAGTTGGGCGGGGTATAAATATTATCATAGCCATCGGGGTATAAATTCTTCTTCTTCTTCTTCTTCTTCTTCTTCTTCTTCTTCTTCTTCTTCTTCTCTGAGAATCCTCTGGAAAAATAATCTCTCAAAGGACCTCTTGATGGCATTCTATCATTGTACCGTTGAGAGTGTATTAACTTATGGTCTGTGTGTGTGGTTTGGGAGCTGCACGGTCAGGGATGCTGTCCAGGGTTGTAAAGACTGTGGAGAGAATAACTGGGTGTACTCTTCCCACCTTGGATCAAATCTATGCTTCCAGGTGTCATAAGAAAGCTGCAGAGATAGCGCAGGATAGTGCGCACCCCGGAAATGATCTCTTTCTATAGGAGTATATTGTATTTAATTATGGGGTATCAGAGTTTTTAGGGGGTTAACTAGGCTGGGATAGCTGAGATTGCAGGCTTGTTGGTTTTTGAATGTCTGATGTAGATCTTTTCAATTTCATTGTTCTGCATGGGACAATGACAATAAAGATTATTGTATCGTATCATATTATTATTATTACCATCTGGCTCTGGGCAGATTGGGCCCGTGGAGAGAGAGAGAGAGAGAGAGAGAGAGAGAGAGAGAGAGAGAGCAGGTGAAGGAGCAGCAACAACCCACAAAGGTGAGATGGGTCCAAGGAGCCAGCTGGAGGCATCTTGTCCAAGGATCTCCCTCCCCGAAAATCCCTGGAACCAACACTGCTCATCACAAGACTTAATGGAACAAGGGAGAATGGGTGTCACTAAACGGGCACTGGAGGCTTTTATTTCACAGGTGTATATATGATGTTATTTTCTGCCTCTGGGGGTCCAGTTGGATGTAAGGGTTGGTGCTCAAGAAGCTGCCAGACTGTCCTCAATAATTTCATTCACGGTTTCCAGATAGATGGAGCTCCTCCTCTTGTGGTGGGGAAGGCAGTGACTCATACAGTCTGTGGGGTTGGCTGTTGCTGCTCCAAAGGCCACCGCTGTACTGGAGAACGATGATCTCTTCTGCTTTTTCCCCCCTCTAAAAGAGAGCTTGTCTTGAATCAGAGAAGGGAAACCAGAAGGATCCGTATCCTACTCCCCTTGGGACTAGAAGGGTAATCTCCAACCCATTAGGTGCCACATCCACCCAAGTTCAAGGCCAAGCCTAGCCCCAACCCGCTCCTGCTGTACACACAGCTTCCTTAACTGAAGTCGCCATGCTCTCGTTGACATCTGGTGGTGGAAATGGGCCCTCAGAAGGAAACTGTGACTACCAACCTCTGTGATTTAAGGCAGGGGTGCAGAATCTTTGGCCCTCCAGATGCTTCTGGACTTCTGGCTTTTGCTTCAGATCAGAATTGAATGGGCTTGTTCAGGATCAATTCTACCCAAGGAAAGAGGGAAAGGAACAACGATTTCTGGAGTGAGAAGCTGGTTCTATTTCATATTATTTGAAACATCCCTATGCCGCCTTTGAGAGTAAAGGCAGCTTACCACAGAACACAGAAATACAATTTATTTATTATTTGTTTTATTTTTAAAAATTTCTATACTGCTTTCTATTTTAAAGAAAAATCCCAAAGCGGATCACAGCATATTAAATCAATAAAACAATACAATGCAAGTACAATGCCATGGATGCGAAAAATTACGGGAAAAATGAAATATTAGGAAAGGGCCACCAATAAGACAGGAGCAAAACCTACACAGTAGGGTCCCGGCATAAGATGGTTGGACAGCACATTGTATACACCTCCTTCACTTTTTGGTCAAAGAATATAAACAACACCCATCGGAACTGGGGACTATAGAGTTAAATATAGTCTCCGGTTGTTCTGGGTTGGGGCAAAGGCTCCATTTTCAGCCTGTCTTGCTGGTTGCTTTCATTCTCCTGTGTGGTTGTCTATTGGCCTGCTCATCCGTAAAGCAGCCTCTCGTTCCAGACCTGCCTTATATTATACTTAACCAAAATGAAATCAAAAACAAGCAAGCGTTACCTTGCATAGTTGCTCAACGTGTAGTAGGAAGTGACGCCTACCAAGAACAGGGACAGCGAAATACATCCGACGACAAGCCCCGCCGTGACTTTGGCAGGTAGAATATGCACCTTCTTTTTTCCTCCCAGATCTCCACATGCAGACAGCAAGAAAAAAATGTGCATATAATAGGAATAATAGTACAGCGGTGTGGCGTTTGCCCTCCTAGGTGTGTGACATCATACCGGGTCATAAGGAAAGGGTTAACTAAGTGTAAAATGATAACCAATAGGAACCCAAGGGGAGGAGTTAGAATTAGAGTTAGAGTTGTTAAGAAGTCAGTCTGGAGTTAGAGAAGGGAGAGGGAGGATAAGTCTGTGGGTTGGGCTAGTTTGATTTGAGGGAGTGAGAGAATCTGTTAAGAGGAGTCAGTTAAACAGTTGAGATAATCAGTCAGAAGGTATTAGGAAGGTATAGGCCGGTAAAGAAACTAAGGTTATGAAACTGACAAGAAAAATTGTCTGAAACCATAAACTTGTTAATGCTTATAAAATAAACTTGTTTATTTGGTTTAATGTTAACAACTGTCTGGACTCAGTGTGTAGCCGAGAGAAACGGGTTGGTGGCAGCGGGGAAGCGAGCACAGTGGTGGCACAGGGATCAATAGACCGTCAAACGTCCAGGGACCCTGTGTGATCGCCACAAGCGGTACCTCGGAAGTCGAACGGAATCCATTCCGGAAGCCCATTTGATTTCCAAAACGTTCGGAAACCAAGGCGCGGCTTTCGATTGGCTGCAGGAGCTCCTGCAGCCAATCGGAAGCCACAGAAGCTGTGTGGGACATTCGGGTTCCAAAGAACGTTCGCAAACCGGAACATTCACTTCCAGGTTTGAAGCATTCGGGAGCCAAAAAATTTGACTCGCAAGGTGTTAGGGATCCGAAGTATGAGTGTAATAGCAGCAACAGCAGCAGCAGCAGCGGTAATTTATTACTTATACTCTGTCCATCTGGCTGGGCCTCCTCAGCCACTCTGGGCAGCTCCCAACAGAATATTAAAAACACGATAAAACATCAGACATTAAAAACTTCCCTAAACAGGGCTGCCTTTAGGTGTTTTCTAAAAATCAGATAGTTGTTTATTTTCCTTAGCTCTGAGCATCCCTGTCCTCTGCATCAGTTACAGGTAAGGGTGAGGGAGAAAATTGATTCAGTTCACAAGGAAAGGTGAACCCACATCTTTCACATTTTCCAAAACAATACAAGTACAGGGGTACCTCAGGTTACAGATGCATCAGATTACAGACGCTTCAGGTTACAGACTCTGCTAACCCAGAAATAGTACCTCAGGTTAAGAACTTTACCTCAGGATGAGAACAGAAATCGCATGGCAGCAGCAGGAGGCCCCATTAGCTAAAGTGGTACCTCAGGTTAAGAACAGTTTCAGGTTAAGAATGGACCACCAGAATGAATTAAATTCTTAACCTGAGGTACCACTGTATGAGGGCCGGACCATCCATGAAGCAAGGTGAGAAGACTGCCTCAGGCGGCAGGATCCATAGGGGCAGCAGTCCTGATGTAGATCTTTACTCCCCCCTTGTTCCTTCATGTTCACCCCTTCTTCCCTGGCAGGGAAAAGGGACGCCATTTTGTGGTTCACCCCAGGTGCCAAAATGCCTTGGACTGGCCCTGGCAAGAACTGAAACACAGCAAATGCGCTGCTCTGAATTTTGCACGGCAGTTCACTAGCCAAGGGTTTTGTACAGAAATACCTATACAGTGGTAGCTTGGTTTGCTACAGCTTTGGGTTACAACCATTTTGGATTACAACCACATCAAACCCGGAAGTGCGTGTCCCTTTTTTTGGATTACAACCAATTTTTTGGGGGGGGAGGCCCCATTGGCGAAAGCGCGCCTTGGGTTACAACCTGTTTTGGTTTACAACTGGACCTCTGGAGCGGATTATGATTGTTAACCAAGGTACCACTGTACTAGGTCAAAGTGTGCATAAAAGTACATACGTTGGTGAAAATATTTTGCGGACGCGCACTATATTTAGGGAAATTGCCTTGCAAAAAAAGTCACTATTGCATACATGCATATATATATATATATATATATATATATATATATATATACATGGAGAGTTTCCATTCAAATGCTGATGAATTGTCATGATGACCTTTTTTAAAAAAATAAATAAATTGCAAACTGGTGTAAAAATGTGAAGAACTGCACCTAAGACTGGAAAAATGAGAAACCGAGAAATATACTCACCTTTGACCGCCAGGTATATCCTCCCCACTTCGGATGAGTCCGGCAGAACTTTTTTCTTTTGTAGCATGTAGTAGCCGCTGTCCAGGAGGGTTAAATTAGTGATGTGTAGGGAGCAATGTGGATTGATGTCCACCCGCCCAGTGTAGGCCCAGCTGATATTGAATATGGAGACTGGCTGAGGTTGGTAGGTCACAATATTACTTGCCTCTGATATTTTCCCTCGGAACCAGCCGCAGAATGAGACCCTCTCCATGCTACTGACTGGGACCAGTGTTACATCATTTCCCAGTGATGGGCGCCACGGATCCAAGACGATGGGAATTCTAATGTTCTCAGCTTGCACCAGTGCAAAGCACGAATTCAGAATGTGGGCTAGAAGAGCAGGGGTTGGGCGGAAGGGGAAAGAAGCAAAAGTTCAGTTCAAGGAAGAGGTTGGCAGCAAGTCGGAGACATCGGCGCTTGCGATGTACCGTATTTTTTGCTCTATAAGACTCACTTTTTCCCTCCTAAAAAGTAAGGGGAAATGTGTGTGCGTCTTATGGAGCGAATGCAGGCTGCGCAGCTATCCCAGAAGCCAGAACAGCAAGAGGGATTGCTGCTTTCACTGCACAGCGATCCCTCTTGCTGTTCTGGCTTCTGAGATTCAGAATATTTTTTTTCTTGTTTTCCTCCTCTAAAAACTCTTGTGGTCTGGTGCGTCTTATAGAGCGAAAAATACGGTATTTATCGAATTCATTTATCGAATTCTTGCCCTGTGCAATTTCAAAACAAAAGCAAGCAGATTGCAACATTCTGGAAATTCGGAAACAGCTGCGGTTTGAAATGTTCTGAAACCAATGAAAACTAAAAACATGTTTCCGTTATAGAGCAAGAATCAAGAGGGTTTTTCAGTGTTATGTCTTGGAGAAAAAGGGAGAAAATTTGGGAGGCATGCCTTATATCGAGGCTGCAGCAGAGCTCATTGCAAGTGCCTTAAGAACAGACTCCCTGCCCAAGCCAGAGTTTTAGACCCCAGCCCTGAATCCTGTTACCAACTGGGGAAGGGGTTTTCTGAAAACCCTGTGCTCCATCTGCACTTAAAGCAGCACCATAGCACTGCAAAGAATTCTGGGGACTGTAGTTTGTTGCTAGGAGACTTCTTTAACAGTATATTATTATTATTATTATTATTATTATTATTATTATGCCGCCCATCTGATCGGGTTACCCCAACCACTATGGGCAGCTTCCAACAAATTAAAACACAGTATTATTATTATGATGATTTATTACATTTCTTAGTAGCTTTATCTTGCCCAGTGCAGCCCAAAGTAACATACAACCAAAGTAACATAGGAACCAAACTCCCCACATAAAGACATTAAAACCAAGGGGGGGAAAGAAATATATTTAAAACATCCCACCTCCTTCTCAGGTCCATAAATTACCATATGGCATATATTCAACACACAAAAAACAGCGACAATTTGTTGTTGACAAAGGACAGCTGGACATTTAAAGGGTCCCATTACCTTCAGTTGTTTAGGGCCTCATCAAACCTAAATCCGGCTCTGTTTGTGAGGCACACGAAGGAGGACCTCAAAGGATGGTCAGTTCATATGGGGAGAGGCAGTTCTTGAGGGATTGAGGCCCTGAGCCTTTACATTTGAATTGGGCCTGGAAACTACCGTATTTTTTGCTCCATAGGGTGCACCGGACCATAGGGCGCATCTAGTTTTTAGGGGGGGAAATCAAGGGAAAAAATCTTATTCCCCCCCCAGCCCCAAATAGCAGTGTACAGGCTAAAGAAGCCATAGCCCCATGCAGCTTCTCCCTGCTGGAGGGGTTGCGCGCGGCTATGGAACAAGCCAAGGCAGCCAGCGGGATCCATCCCGCTGGCTGTTTTGGCTTCCTCTTTAGCCCCACGCAACCTCTCCCTGCCAGGAGACACTACGCGGGGCTAAAGAAGCCATAGCCACTTGCAGCCTCTCCCTGCCGGAGGGGCTGCACGGGGCTATCCCTGAAGCCTGGAGAGTGAGATGGGTCAGTGCGCACCGACGCCCCTTGCTCTCCAGGCTTCAGTGAAAGCAACGCGAAGCCTCTGGAGCGTGGACGGAGCGCTCCCTCTGCGCTTCGGAGGCTTAGCGTTGCTATCGCTGAAGCCAAGGAGCCTGCATTCACTCCATAGGACGCACACACATTTCCCCGCAATTTTTGGAGGGGAAAAAAGTGCATCCTATAGAGCAAAAAATACGGTAATTGGCAGCCAGTGCAGTTGGGTCAGGATTGGTGCAATATGCTCAAACCGTCTTGCTCCGGTGAGCAACTTGGCCGCCAAATTTTGCACCAGTCAAAGCTTCTGAACCGTCTTCAGAGGCAGCCCCACGGATGACGCATTTGCCACAGTCTCTCACCTGCTAGAAGCAGCATTGGCCAAGGTCTTCCACGGCCAGAGGGTGCCCCAGCTACTGGGTGGGCTCTCTGCATGGTGTTGGTGACACTCTTGTAGGTGAGAGGGCTTGGGGCATCCTGGGAGGATGATTTTGTGCCCAGCCATACACATGGGTTCCTCCCCTGTCCGTAACCACAGATGCCCAGGAACACCCAGCCTAGGCCACCTGTTCCCACCCCTGCAAGATCTCCTCAGCTTTAGCCTAGGATACCTCACTACAGCCTCCCTCACCTGTTAGCTCCCAGGTAACCATAGGAGGTCATAAAGCTGGAGTGTGAGCCTTGGTGAGTTGGGTGGGGAAGACCCCATTTGGGGGGCCCATCTGAGAAAGGCGCATCAGTCCAGGGTTTAAACCACAGCGAGCTGGCAGGGTTTATAATGAGCACAAATAATGAATAGACTTTTTAAAAGTCATATTTCTTGGTTTCCAAAGATGTGTAGCAGGCTATAACTATGTGGCTAAATACACCGATCCTGGCCTGACGGCACTGGCTACCAATTAGTTTCCGGGCCCAATTCAAAGTGCTGGTTTTGACCTATAAAGCCTTAAACAACCCAGGACTGCAATACCTCAAGGACCGTCTCTTTCCATATGAACCTACCCAGACCCTGAGATCATCTCCCAAGACCCTTCTTTGTGTGCCTCCTCCTAGAGAGGTCCAAAGGGTGGCAACACAAGAACGGGGCCTTCTCTGCAGTGGCTCCCCGTCTGTGGAATGCTCTCCCCAGGGAAGTTCGCCTGGCGCCTTCATTATATACACCTTTAGGCTCCAGGCAAGAATGTTCCTTTTTAAGCAGGCCTTTGGTTGATCTTACTGACATCCAACACCCTTTTAGAATGTGGCTTGGGGGGTGTTATTGGGTCACTGCTTTTGGTATGATTTTATATGTTGTGGTCTTCTTTGTGAACCGCCCTGAGACCTCTAGGTATAGGGCAGTGTATAAATTGAATAAATCACCACCACCACCATCATCAACCCCCTTTTGCCCTCATGTCAATCTCAGCAACAACCAGGTACATACCATACTTTTCCATGTATGAGGTTTTATCCTGATAATATTATGTATTAAATTGGGGCTCATCTTATACACGGATAGTGCAGAGTGGGGGTGGGGGATTGTTTTTTGTCACAAGCTGATTGGTGGTTGTGGCAAGGGCTGCTGTCGATTGGCTGTTGTTGCGGCAATTGGGCGGGCGATTGGTGGCTTCTGGTGGCGATCGGGCAGATGATTGGTGACCTCTGTGCCATGTGCTAATGGCAGCGTTGTTGGGGTGGGTGAGCGAGTTGTTGCAACCCACCTTCAAGAAAGCTCAAAAACTGTAGGAATAACGGAGACGACAGGAGGTTGGATGCAGGTGAGCTGTGCAGGAGCAAGCTGGCAAGCATGTTCCAAACAAGCTGCCGGCTAGCTCTGCTGAGGCTCCTTTTATTAGCAGAAGTCAACAATTAGAAACAGTAACAGCAGTAATTATATTATATGCAGTAACAGCAATTATATGCAGTAACAGCAGCTAGGATATTATTGGCCCAGAAATGGAAGCAAAAAGAATTGCCAACGATCGAAGAATGGAGGATGAAGCTGATGGACTACGCAGAATTAGACAAATTAACAGGAAGGATCTGAAACCGGTGGGACCAGAAATTTACCGAAGACTTGAGTAAATTTACGAATTATATGAAAAGTATTTGTGATGGTCAGATGACATTTGTAGGTCTGCAAGAAGTTCTGTGAGGAGTAGTGTGGGAAATATTGTAAAAATGTAAAAGGTGGGATGATAAGTTGAGAGGGTAAAGGCAATATAAAATTAAGTAATGCATAAAAAGAGGTTAAGATGGAAGATCATCGGAGATGCTGATGGAAGTCCCAAAAAAGTGCATTTGCAATAATCTGTGTGGTACGTTTTAGAATTTGTATGTTAAAATCAATAAAAATATTTTTAAAAAAGAAAAGAAAGAAACAGTAGTGAAACCACCCTAAACTTAACGTATTTCATCTAAGCACATTTCCAGCGTTAGCATATACATGTGTCAGCAGGTGTTTCCCTAAGATGTTCCCCCGATACTTGATTACGTCTGCGTTCCTGGTCATGCTCCAGCCAAGCGAAATGTCTAAGCAAACGAATTGTGAAAGGACGAAAGGTCAGGGGGAAAACCCTGTTTTCTAGCCAAGAAGGCAAAAGGTCAGGGAGAGCAGGCGCAATGCTCCTTGACACACTGTTGCACGTCTGGTGTGAGGTTTGCCTTCGCAAAGTGGAGCATTACCTCCACAAACAACTCTGGGCAATCTCCCCCTATTTTCTTAATATTGCGTCTTATACATTGGGGCGTGTTATACAGGGGAAAATATGGTATTCATGTCTGTAGAATATTCGTTCCTCTTCCCTTTGACAGGATTATCCTGTGTTTTTCTGCCAGGGTGGTACAGGGAGCATCCCAGCCTCACAAAGCGGCTCAGAGCTGGTGTTGATCCGGCGGTGAGGGCTTGTCTGGCACACAGCCTGGGTACCATGAAACCATGCTCCTCCACTGCAATCGCTCTGTCTGCATGCCTGTTTTATAGTTTAATTTTTCATCTTTCCATTTTTGTCTGTTGCTATGTTCTCTCTGTTTTATATACATTATAAGATGAAATAATAATAAAGATCTTCCCCCCCCAAAAGGGGGTGGGGGTGGGGTGCTCTGTCTTCGGCCAATTGCCAGAGGGTTGCTTGCAACACAAGGATTGAGTGAGACATCTTACACCAAGGAGATGCCACAACAAAGGGGGGGTCACCAAACATTGTACAGTGGTACCTCGGGTTACATACGCTTCAGGTTACAGACTCCGCTAACCCAGAAATAGTGCTTCAGGTTAAGAACTTGGCTTCAGGATGAGAACAGAAATCGTGCTCCAGCGGTGCGGCAGCAGCAGGAGGCCCCATTAGCTAAAGTGGTGCTTCAGGATAAGAACAGTTTCAGGTTAAGTACGGACCTCCAGAATGAATTAAGTACTTAACCCGAGGTACCACTGTATTGTAGTTATTTGTTGGGTCCAACGTGATGAATGGTTACTTCCATCTGTTAATGTAAGCACCCAGTTTGGTGCAGCCTTGCCAACAACTTTTAAACAAGAATGAAGAGAGAGGTTTCACATCTCAATTTCATTTTGCAAACTGACACTCTTCTTATGCTGTAGGATACAAAACTGGGGCCACATCCTCACCGCAAATCTATAGCACTACAATGCCACTTTAAACAACCACGGCTTCCCCCCAAAGACTTCTGGGAGATGTAGTTTGTTCATAGCTGTCAACGTTTCCCTTTTTTAAAGGGAAATTCCCTTATTCAGAATAGGATTCCTCGCAAGACAAGGGAAAAGTTGACAGCTATGAGTTTGTTAAAGGTGCTGAGAGTTGATAAGAGACCCCCATCCTCCACAAAGAGATGCAATTTGTAGTTTGGTTTAACAGCAAGCCCTTCTTCCCAAGAAACTCTGGAATTTTGTAGCTCTGCGTGGGGTGTGTGTGTGGAAATAGAGGTTTCCTAACAACCTGGATCCTTGGGTGTCTTGTCTTCCCTTCCAGCTAAGTACCAATAGCCAGATAGAACAAATTATCATGATAGGCACATGAAAAAGCCAACTCATCAATTCCATTCTTAGATCATGAGGAGTTTCTGGTGTCATTACCCCTCCTGTCCAGAAGGGGGAGCAGAGGTACTGGAAGGACCAGTGAGAACAGTGGAGGTTGAGCATTTATAAGCCCAGAATTCATAACCTGGTTTACTTCCTCCTTCAATGGTTCTCATCATTGATGTCCTACAGAACTATTCATGGTGACTTACAATAATATTATAACACAATGCATGACTCTGGAATATGGCGAGTCCCATCTCCACAATCTCTGGCACAAAGTATGAATATAGTCAAAACTAAGCATTGGAGGGTTTTCTTGTTTTGTTTTTAATTTAATCAGTGGACATGAAGGTGTGCTTTTCCCCTGCCCTGTTGGGTTTGGGCTAGGTACAAAGGCTGATGCTTATCAAGGGGTTCTTGATTCTTCCATCATCATTTTCAAATAAATGGAGCTTCTCTTCTTGGGGAGATGGGGAACATAAAATCCGTGGAACTCAAGGAAGCTATTCCGGACTTGGCTCCAAAGAATTTTCTGCTCTATTGGCTATTTTTATTACCTGGAAGAGAACCAATCATAGACTGAAAACCAGAACCACCACCACCATTATTATTTCACCATCACCACACCACCCGTTCACCCTAAGGTTCCAGAACAGGTTACAACAATTAAAACACAACATTAAAAACAATGTACAATAAGAGAAATAAGGTGGGTTGTAAATGTGCATCTCAGGCATCAAAAGGCAGGACAAAGAGGTTCATCTTCTGCTTTCACCGAAAACTTAAGGTGACAGACACATCTCAATGGGGAGGAAGTTCCACGACTTAGGAGCTGCCATAGAGACTGCCCTTTCTTGGGCCAACCTTCCCGAGTTTCTGAGGGTGGTGGAGCAACCAGGAGGGCTCCCTCTGACAATTTTAACACCCAAGGGAATCTGTAGGGAAGGTGGAGGACTAAGCATTGGGGGCCTGTGTCGTTTAAGGCTTCAAACACTAAGGTGAGCACTTTGAGCTGGGCCCAGAAATGAACTGGCAGCCAATGTCAACATCCAGTCTTGGATTTCTCTGAGGGAGAACTTCTGGATATACATGCTGGACCCCTGGACTTCACACAGCCTCCTCCCGGAGGATAGTCTCAGCATCATTTAAAGGTAAAGGGACCCCTGACCATTAGGTCCAGTCGTGACCGACTCTGGGGTTGCGGCGCTCATCTCGCTTTATTGGCCGAGGGAGCCGGCGTACAACTTCCGGGTCATGTGGCCAGCATGACTAAGCCGCTTCTGGCGAACCAGAGCAGCGCACGGAAATGCCGTTTACCTTCCCGCCGGAGCGGTACCTTTTTATCTACTTGCACTTTGGCGTGCTTTTGAACTGCTAGGTTGGCAGGAGCAGGGACTGAGCAACGGGAGCTCACCCCGTCATGGGGATTCGAACCGCGGACCTTCTGATCGGCAAGTCCTAGGCTCTGTGGGTTAACCCACAGCGCTTCAGCAAATGAAGGTCTTCTGAGCACCCCATCCCATACCCTCCAACATTTCTCCTATGAAAATAGGGAAACCCTATTCCATAACAACAGCAGCAACAATTTTACTATTTATACACCACCCATCTGATTGGATTGCCCCAGCCAACTCCCAACATATTTAAAAACATAATAAAACAGTAAACTTTTTTTAAAAAAAGTTTGCTATGCAGGCCTGCCTTCAGATGTCTTCTAAAGATTGTATGGTTATTTATCACCTTGGCTCGGGGGTCTCATAACTCCTACCCTCCAACATTTTTTCGATGAAAATAGGGCCGTCCTGAGGTAAAACGGGATCAACTCAGAAACCGGGATGGCTTCTGTAAATCCGGGACTGTCCCTGGAAAATAGGGAAACTTGGAGGGTCTGCCATTCTCATAGCTTTATAGCCAGTGCTTTTTTCCTTAAAAAATATTTAGGGGTACTCTCATTTTGGTTCAAGAACATCACCATTTTATGGTTCAAATCGGGAAAGATAAATACAGTAAATGGTCAAAATGTCGCCATCGGGGGTAGAAACTGACGCTTCACCATGCTAGAGAAGAAACTAATTTTTATTTAAATTTTTAGTTTCTTCTCCCATTAGTTTCACAAAATGTTTAGGGATTTGCGTACCCCTGTGTACCCCCCCCGGGGGGGGAAAGCACTGTTTATAGCTATCACCTTGGAAAAAGTAACTTTTAAAAAGTCAGAGCAACCAATGAAGGTTATGTTGGTCACTGTAATAAATACATGGTTTAAGTGATTAACAGCATCCTCCCACTCAGGGCCGGCCCAAGAGATTTTGGCACCTGAGGCATGCCACGAAATGGTGCGCTCACCCTGCCAGGGAAGAAGGGGAGAGCGAAAATCTACATAAGAAATGGGGGGTGGGGGTGGAATAAAGATTGACATGGGGAACTAGGGCGGGAGAAGACCGGAGGTGCCTCCAATTGGCCAAAAGGCTGTTGTAGAGGCAGCCTGAGGGGGGCTGCTGCTGAGGCGCCAGCAGATCCAGCCTCCAAGGAGCGTCCCAGACCATGAATTCCTTAGAGGCTGCATCTGCTGCCCCTTCGGATCTTGCCACCAGAGGCGGTTGCCTCGCCTTGCATCCTGTGTGAGCCGGCCCAGATCCTACCTGCATCCAAGACAAATTTGCCGGAAGTACTGTCTGATATTCTTTCTTTCTCTCTCTCTCTGTTTCTCCCTCTCCCTTTCTGTTAAATTATCTACATTACCGTACAAAACCTTGTGTGACTGTGTAGGAAATCAGGCCTACAAGAAAGACAGCCCCGACTATGCAAGCCACAAAAATCCCGGCAACGGCTCCTCCAGAGACGCTCGTCCTTTTTTTCTTGTCGGATTGCTTTTCTGGAGAGACAGAGAAAGGTCAGGTAAGAAGTAGGAAGGAGAACCGTAATTCCTTGTCTCTTGTTTATCTCAGGTACCAAGGGCATTTCCCCCCATCCTTTCCATCGGTCCTGGAGACCAAACAGGGCCACTGAGGCAGCGCAAGATGGTTTCTGAAAAGATCGTTCCCCTCCCGTTTCTCCCATGCTTGCTGTGGCAAAACCCCCCTCTTTTCTCACTACGTGGTACGGTCTCAAGGCTAAGAGTGTGAGCAGAGAAAGTTCCATGTCTAGGTTGGGGGGGTGAGCAATTTGCGTCCCTCCAAGCTTCTCTTCCTGGTCCTCAGGCCACACCTCCTCTCTTGGCTGTAACCCTCGCCAACCCACTTCTCCATCCTTGCCCTTTGAACCCTTGCTTCCCTGGATGAGGATGGAGACATGCTATTTGCCCTGGGCTAGATGAACAAGGACCGCCAGTTTCCTATGGTCCTACACAGATTCAGTTGCTTAAATTATATCTTCCTCCTGCTTACAGTTCTCCTTATTCTTTTCGTTCAGCTGAACCCAAGCACATCATCCTCTCCAAGAAACAAAAGAGGCTGCTTTCTGTTGAAATAGCTCAGTTGGCTAGAGTGTGGTACTGAGGAGACCAAGGTCGTGGGTTCGATCCCCATACGGGTCACCTGCATTACAGGGGGTTGGAGAAGATAAACCTCGGGGTCCCTTCTGACTCTGTCATTCTATGAGTCAGTCCAACTAGCTCAGCACTGACTCAACAAGATAGCTCAGTCGGTAGACTATGAGGTGCTTAATGAGACTATGAGGGTTGTGGATTCGAGCTCCATGTTGGGCAAAAAGATTCCTAGACTAGGTGACCCTCAGGATCTCTTCCACCTCTACAATTATATGATTCTATGAATTCTTCAGGGTTCCAGCCAGGTCTTCCCCAGCCCTACCTGGAGAAGCCAGGATTGAACCTGGGACCTTCTGCGTGCCAAGCCAATGCTCTACCCATTGAGCTACCACCTGTCCCCTAATAAATAGTAAACCTAATACATGCAGAACATAATAATAATAATAATAATAATAATAATAATAATAATAATTTATTTATACCCGCCCATCAATCTGGGTTTCCCCAGCCACTCTGGGCAGCTCCCAACAGAATACTAAAAACACAATCAAACATCAAACATTAAAACCTTCCCTAAACCGGGCTACCTTCAGATGTCTTCTAAAAGTCAGATAGTTGTTCATTTCCTTGACATTTGATGGAAGGGCGTTCCACAGGGTGGGCGCCACCACCGAGAAGGCCCTCTGCCTGGCTCCCTGTAACCTCACTTCTCACAGTGAGGGAACCACCAGAAGGCCCTCGGGGCTGGACCTCAGTGTCCGGGCTGAATGATGAGGGCGGAGATGCTCCTTCAGTTATACTGGGCCGAGGCCATTTAGGGCTTTAAAGGTCAGCACCAACACTTTGAATTGTGCTCGGAAACGTACTGGGAGCCAATGTAGGTCTTTCAAGACCGGTGTTATATGGTCTTGGTGGCCACTCCCAGTCACAAGTCTAGCTGCCGCATTCTGGATTAGTTGAAGTTTCCGGGTCACTTTCAAAGGTAGCCCCACATAGTGCTCATTGCAGTAGTCCAAGCAGGAGATAACCAGAGCATGCACCACTCTGGCAAGACAGTCTGCGGGCAGGTAGGGTCTCAGCCTGCGTACCAGATAGATACACTGAGCTGCAGCCCAACTGCTAAATATACGAAACCAAAATACCTATTCAGATTCAAGACACAATAAGCATCATTGACACACCAGATGATATCATCATGCAGTGCGTGTCTGTAGAGAGATATCAAGAGGGGAAGAAAGATTGTGTAGGTTAAGAAGGGGCATGTGAAACATTTACCTATGACCACTAAGAATATCTGCCCCACTTCTGACTCCTTAGTAGTGTTTCTTTGCATTACATAGTACGTGATATCTGAGATTGATATGTTCCTGATCTGCAAGGAGCAATCCGTGTTCACAGACTCCCGCCCAGTATACGAGGCTTTGTACTGAACATCTTTCACTGGAGGCGGTTGATAAACCAAGATCTGATTCTTCTCAGCCGTATCCCACCGGAACCAGCTGCAGGTGTCCACCTTCTCCTTGCTCTCTTCCGGAATCAGCAAGACCTCCCCTCCTACCTGGGGGAACCAGGGCTGGACGGTGATGAGGAGGGTGAAGTTCTGGTCCGCTTCCAGAAACACAAAGGAAGAAAACAAGATATGGGCTGAGGGAGGTGAGGGGGAGAGAAGAGGCAAGAGATTCAGGTCAAGGAACGAGCCAATAACACACAGTAACCATTGCGGGTTTTCACCCCAATCAGAGACATTTGCAACTGTGCAATGTGGAGGTCGCTGGTGGTGCTGTGGGTTAAACCACAGAACCGAGGACTTGCCGATCAGATGGTTGGCGGTTCGAATCCCCGCAACGGGGTGAGCTCCTGTTGCTCAGTCCCTGCTCCTGCCAACCTAGCAGTTCGAAAGCACGTCAAAGTGCAAGTAAATAAATAGGTACCACTCCGTCGGGAAGGTAAACGGCGTTTCCATGCGCTGCTCTGGTTTGCCAGAAGTGGCTTAGTCATGCTGGCCACATGACCCGGAAGCTGTATGCCGGCTCCCTCGGCCAATAAAGTGAGATGAGCGCCGCAACCCCAGAGTCAGCCACGACTGGACCTAATGGTCAGGGGTCCCTTTACCTTTACTTCACTCCACCTTAATGTGGAGGTCAAGATAGCCTTCTGATTCCCAAACCACAATTTTAGAGCACAGCTGATCTGGGTCTCTCTCCTCCCCACACCATCACTATGCTAACCCCCACTGCTCCACAGGGAGCCCCCAATCGTTCACCTGCTAGAAGGAGCACTGGAGGTGTGAAGGTCTTTGGCATCGTGGGAGATTCCCTTTATGCCCGGCCGGATGCCTGGGTTCCTTTTGTCTTCTTTGCTCCCTGTTCTGGGGGCATCAGCTGAACCCACCTGCTCACAACCCACCCTAGGCTTTCCCCTACTGGAGCTCAGGAGGCCTCACAGTCAGCAGCCCCCTTCCCCATTGCGATCTCCTAGGCAACCAGTGGAGGTCACAAAGCAGCCTGGACTTTTGTTGAACCAGAAGTGGGGAGTCCTTTATAGGGTCCCACTCAGATAGCTGGACTACAAATTTATATATCAATCTAAGGCTGTGATTTGGCTGGGAAAGTGGTGTAGCGTGGGGGAGGCAGAGGGGTGATTTTTTTGGGGGGGAGGCGCAAAATTTCAACACCCAGTGCTGCCCCAATACAATTGTGCACTACCGTCACTAGGCTCGATTCAAGCGGCTTCTCCAGGCAAACCAGGAAGTGACCTCTCCAGATCTCCTGGGTGGTGCAGACACTGTTAGGCAGTTGAATGCGCATGCGTACCCTGGCTGTTTCCCACTCATTCCTCACAGCCTTGGGCACTGGCAACCCACGGTACGCCACTGGGTGGGGGAGGGACTGTATGGACTTGTCCCTTCAGGTCTATTCCAGGCACTTTCAAATTTCACATTCTACAAATTTGGTGATTGTATTTTCACATTTGTAGTCCAAGCTTTCTCCAAGAAGTTCAAGGCACGTGGTTCCTTCCTTGGAGGTTTCTAAGCAGAGGTTGGATGGCTGTCTGTTATGGATACTTTGGCTGAGATTCCTGCACTCTAGTGGGTTGGACTAGATGCCCCTTGGGGTCCCTTACATAACCATAAAAACCATCAATTTCATTATTTGATCATGGTGAGTTCCTGGTATCACTACCCCTCCTGACCAGAAGGGGGAGCAGAAGCACTAGAAGGATCAGTGTAAACAATTGCTTTTATTGTTTACATTTTTTAATTTTCAGGTTTTCTCATTTTACAAAACATATCAGAAAATCTTTTTATACATTTAAATATACTATGGGCTACCCTCCTCTCCTTTCTGTAGTTACATAAGTTGTATCTTCTTTTTTCTGCATCTGCAACATTAAAACCTAAATATAATGAATCACTTGTACTCAAAAATTTTATTTCACCATCTGCATGTGTTTATATCAATCCTGCTAATGTTTTAAGTCATTTGCAATAATTCTTTAGATATTCAGCAAACAATCCCCACGCTTGCTTAAGATTCTGTCTTCCTAGCTCTTAATCTTCCGGTAAGTTCTGCCGTTTCTGCATACTCCAGTAACTTTTGCTGCCAGTTCTCTTTATTTGGGGCATATTTGTCTTTCCACCTTTGGGCACATGCCATTTGGGCTGCTGAGGTCGTTTACATAATCCCCCCCCCCCCGCTCTTTAGGTATCTCAGATCCAATTATCCCTGAAAGAAAGGCTTCTGGTTCCATGACAAACGTCGCCTTAAACATTTTAAAAAATCCGTTATATATCATTTCCCAGAAGGCTTTGTGAGGATACCCAGAGCTTACAGAGTTAACAGCTCAAGGGAAATGACGTCCTGTCACTGGGGAGCGGGGTTCGCATATGGGTTTCATACTTTGTTATGTGAACGCTTTTACTTTCTGTTTTGGCTGCGACAGGAGAAGCATCATGTCTTCGCTCTCCTGGCTGAAATGTTTGTTTTGCTGCTGTACAATAAAGTTTCGTAGAATAGAAGAAGTTGTTGTACAAGAGTTTTACTGCATGGCTGTGATTCCTTTCACACAGACACACTGCTGCTCAACATACTCTGCTGTAGCTGGGAGAAGCAGACGGGTGCAGTGGAAGTGGACTGGACGCCACAACAGTGCCACTGTTCACAACCTTGTTGGACGCTCAACAGAACAGGCTTTCTCCTTTTACAGGCCCACCACCGGTGTGGACAATTGAAGCCAAGCATCTGTAAGCATGGAATGCATAGCCTGGTGTGCTTGTCTGCTTGCTCATTCAGGAATTAGACTTGGGCTGCAGCAGATCCATGCTTTATCCCTTGGAATACTAAGCAGGGGCAGACCTTGGCATCTCAAATGTCAGTGGTGCCCTGTCTGGTGCCAAAATTTGCGCCCCTGCCTCTTGCCTTCCATTGAAGTAATAGTGGTGGCCCCTTCTCCAGCGCCCCAGCAGCTCTGCACCCAGTGCAACTGTACCAGTCACACTCCCCTAGAGCCGTCTCTGTACCTAGTTACTGTCGGACTTGCGTTCAACCGAGCGACTCCTCCGGTCGAGTCCTCCGATGTGATTAACGACCTGAGCCTTTGATAAGGCTCCAGGCATGCTCCCTCATTACGCAGAGTATCCAGCAGCAGGGAAGGATGAGAAAGATGAGCTACATTGCAAAGAGGTTTATTTTCTAACTATGCAGACAGAAAACTACATCCTCTCTCTGTGAGAGCAGAGAGGCAACTGGAACAAAGGAACAGGAAACCAGTAATATCAACATCCGTCTCCCGTGAGACTTCCAACAGTCTAGAATCCCTGAAATGTAAACAGAGTCCTGTGACTCCAAGCACTGCACCAGTGGCACAAACAGAAACCTAACAGTTACCCTCAGCACTGCTAAGCAGGACACGAGCACTTATGGGATGTTCCATCTGCCCATCATGCAACTCTGGGAGCTTAGCCAAGGGCAGTCAAAATGTGAGGAGATTTCACCCCTCCCATATCCAAGAATCTCCTGAGGAGTCTGCTGATTCTCCAGAGAGGAGGAGGCGTGTTCTGCTCTCTACTTATTCTGCTCCAGCACCAAGTCAGTCAGTCAGTGTCGGAGAGAGAGAGAGCGACTGAGTGTTGGAGATCGTGTGTAGAGATAAGGTTGCTGCTAAGAGCAGCTGCAGACACTCAGTGCAGTGCAGCATTCATTTATGCTTAGACCTATTTAGCTCTGTATATAGTTGTATAATAGTTGTAGATAGAATAAAGAAGATATTCTACAGAGCTGCTCTCCGAGTTGTTTATATACTCTGCTAGACTCTGCTGTACTCTGGTGTGCGGCGACTGTCTTCTTGTGGAAGTGAATCCGGTGCTCACATCTCTAAGCTGTGAGTCCACAGCACTTTGACCTGTTCCTGTGCAGAAGGTGGTCTCTGGAAGTGCTACCCAGCTCGCCTAGCCCAGTCGGGGCTGAAGTGGATGAGTCCAGTTGGTGGCACTGGGTCAAGGGCTCAAGGGCGATGCTGACAAAATGTTCAAGGGGCTGGAGCAATTCCCATATAAGGAAAGGCTGAAGCATTTGGTGCTTTTTAGTCTAGAGAAAAAGTTAAGTGCCAACAGGAAGAAGGGTCATTTTATCACATGTGGTGGCCCTGTGGAAATTGGGGGGGGGGATGATACGCAGTGGTTTTCAAACGTCTCCATTGACGAACATTTCAGTTTTCAAATGCCGTAAACCCAGAAGTAAAGGCTTCGGTTTTTGAACACGCCTCGGAAATCGAACATGCCGCGTGGTTTCCCCTGAGTGCAAGATCCTGAGGCCTAGCTATCGGCTATTGAGTTTTTGGTTTTCAAATGTTTCGGAACTCGGGTGGTCTTCCAGGATGGATTATGTTCAAAAACCGAGGTACCACGATGTTTAAATTTATAATCCCTATAGTCACTAAAAAGCCCGAAGCCTATTTACTAGGAATTATGGGGATGGCCGTTCCAAGAAAGCAGACTAGTTTATTTATGTACATGACAACAGCAGTTAGAACTTTATATGCACCTTTTTTTGGACAAAGAAGTTTTAAAGATGTGTTGTTGTTTTTAGAAAACACTTCAAATATGGGCTGCCATATGCCTGGCTTTTCCCAGACTTTTTTTTAGCAATTTCTGAAAATTCTGCCTGAACGCAATTTTCGACAGATGAATCCCGGTTATGTCCTGGATTTTCCGGTTGTATGGCAGACCTGGTGGATTACCAGAATGGATTACCAACAGAGGAGAAATGGGTTATGAAACTGCTGGACTATGCTGAAATGGCACAATTAACTGCCAAATTAAAAGGACATAATGACGAGGTGCTTAGGGAGGAATGGAGACCACTGGTGGATGATCTATCAAGTTATCACCAATATGTTAAGTCACAGGCAGGATTTGAAATATAAGCAGCGGATTACTGAAAGATTTAACTAGTAGCGGGGTTTAGATAATAAAAATATGTGTGTTATAAAACAGCTAATAAAAAGGAGTAAAAAACAATCAAACATCAGGAAAGGGTGGGAAGTCAAGAAGAAACTTTGGGTGTTAAAAAGCAATTGTATATGATGATAAATGCTTTGAAATGTTTTTGGAGGCTTCGTAAAAAATGATATGGGGGAAAAGAGAAAAGGTAAAGTAAGAAATGATGTGTTAGAAGTTTATAAAATTATAAAAGTGGATAGAGGAAAGTTTTTCCTGCCTATCTCATAAAGTTAGAGCTTGTGAACATCTACTGGAGCAGAACGCTGGAAGATTCAGGACAGAAAAAAGAAAGTACAGTGGTACCTCGGGTTAAGAACTTAATTCGTTCCAGAGGTCCGTTCTTAACCTGAAACTGTTCTTAACCTGAGGTACCACTTTAGCTAATGGGGCTTCCTGCTGCCACCACGCGATTTCTGTTCTCATCCTGAAGTAAAGTTCTTAACCCGAGGTACTATTTCTGGGTTAGCGGAGTCTGTAACCTGAAGCGTCTGTAACCTGAAGCATCTATAACCCGAGGTACCACTGTACCTCTATAAGCAGTGCATTGTTAAACTATGGAACTGTCTTCCACAGGAGGAAGTGATGACCACCAAGTTGATGGTCTTCTTATTTTACAGCATGGAACCACTTCTGGAATTTCATTCCATTCACATGTGAGGACGCATTTGCCTAATTCACAGCTCCCAAGACAAAAGACAGACAGCCTTGGAAATTTTGCAACGCAGTTCTCCAGCCGAAAGCTGTGTACAAAAATGCACATACTGAGATGAAGTGTGCATAAAAATAAACACGTTAGTGACAACAACAATGTGCAAAAAGGCAGGCCTTTCTTTGCTAAAAAGGTGAGCGCTGCACACAAAAATGTGCATATGAGGATAAATTTGTGCTAAAACGCTGGTGGGTTTTCAGTAGGACTTTTTAGAAACAACTCACAAAATGATGTGGAAATGGGAGAAATGAACATAAGAATAGAAGAAACAGAGAAACACTGAAACCGATATGTTGCCCCGTTCCTCACAATCACTGAGTTTCACTTCCCGCCAGGACCCACCGCAGCCCCCTACCCCAACCAATACTGCCATAATATTATGTGTTACAGGGGAATATGGAGAGAGTCATCCCATCAGACCCTGGCAAAGGAATATGGGCACATCAGAAGTGGGCATTGGAGGCTTTTATTGCCTCATGAGACATAATGTTCTATTTGCCCCAGGGGCTGTGGATGAATCACAAGGGCCTTAAATCATTTCATCGTGATTTTTCAAGTAGATTTCAAGTAGATATTTCAAGCCGAGCTTCTCTTCTTTGCTGAGTGGGGGAAATGGTCAACGCTGTTCCAGACTGGAAGGCTGACAAAATGGTTGACCCTGACGATCTCTCTCTTACTCTTTTTGCTTTTACCTGGAAGAGAATCAGTCTAGAATCAGAGGATGGAGAGCAGAAATAAGGTAAGGCAAAAGTAAAGGACCTCTGGACAGTTAAGTCCAATTGGATTCAACTATGGGGTGTGGCACTCAACTCCACTTTCAGGCCGAGGGATCCGGCGTTTGTCTGCAGACAGCTTTCTGGGTCATGTCGCCAGCATGACTAAATCGCTTCTGGTGCAACGGAACACCATCACAAGAATTAAATCATTATGCTGGATAGTAGAAGAAGAGAAGAGTTTGGATTTGATATCCTGCTTTGTCACTACCCTAAGGAGTCTCAAAGCGGCTAACATTCTCCTTTCCCTTCCTCCCCCACAACAAACACTCTGTGAGGTGAGTGGGGCTGAGAGACTTCAGAGAAGTGTGACTGGCCCAAGGTCACCCAGCAGCTGCATGTGGAGGAGCGAAGACGCGAACCCGGCTCACCAGATTACAAGTCTACCGCTCTTAACCACTGCACCACACTGGAGTAGGGTTTAGTGAAGTCAGGGCTAAGGCTGGGTTTGGCAAGAGAGGGTGTTTAACCATTTTGGAGATAATATCCAAGACCCTGGTCCAAAATAAACAATTTTGCATGAAAGTATGTTCCAAAGTTCCCACAGCCTCTCCAACAAAGTTGGGAGATAGGGGTTTGTTGATTTTGGCTAGATGAACCAGAGTCCTGAAAAGAACCTCTTAGGCAACCACCCGATCTGGAATCCTTAAGTCCTGCGAATGTAGATGCTGCTGAGCTGGATAACAACAACAACAACAACAACAACAACTTATTATTTATACCCTGCCCATCTGGCTGGGTTTCCCCAGTCTCTCTGGGTGGCTTCCAACAAAAGATTAAAAGTAAATTAAAACATCAGTCATTAAAAATTTCCCTAAACAGGGCTGCCTTCAGATGTCTTCTAAACGTCAATGTCTTCACTCTGCATAAGGCAGCTTCCTATGTTTTTGCGGATGAGCGGTGCAAAAGAGCGGGCGCCACACAGATCTACTGCTGTGGTCCTCCCATGTAGGGCTGGCAGGTACTTACTTCTGGGCTTTGGGTGCTCCTTTCTTTGGACCTTTTTTCTTCTCGCCCCCCTTTTTCTCCCGAGCCTTCTGGCCTTCTTTATTCCTAAGGAAACAAAGAGACCCTAGCTGTTGTTCCCTGGCAACCGGCACTCCCGGCAAGGAACGTGGCGGACTGAACATCTACTGTCGACAGCTAAGCCGGCAGAGATAATTGTATGGGGATTAATAATAGCCAAGCCATAGATCTTGGTTATCGAATTCGCTCTGAATACAGTCAGTGCATTTTTCCCTAGAAAAAGAGGTGTCTACAGGTTCTATGGGGGAAGCCATGACTGCTTGAAGTGGCATCATAGTGCTTTAAATGCATGGTGGGCGTGCATATACGTGGCTTGGTTTAAGGACACAGTAAGGGAGATGGGGGATATTGCATTTGCTCGCCCACAGTTATGACCTGAACAGTATGCCTGGTCATGAAATTAGTATGGAGACACTGCATTGCAATTAAAATTATGGTAGCTCTCTTTAATGGTGCATCTATACATACAGTGGTACCTTGGTTCTCAAACAGCCTAGTTCACGAAAAACTTGGAACCCGAGTGTAGCAAACCCAGAAATGAGCATTCCGGTTCTCTTTTTTTGGGGGGGGGAGTCGAATGTGCTTTGCTTTGAGTTGCACTGCTTATTAGCGTCCTACCATTTTAATCAAAGAGTTCCACTTCTGTTTTTAGTGTTGTGCTGCTAATTAGCATCCTACCTATGTGCAGACCAGTGCGAGAGATCGCGCTGATTCGGGAGGTGGGGGAGAAGTGTTCTTGCAGTGCTCTGCAGCCCAGCTGCTTTGACATGAGAGAGAGAGATCTCAAAAGATCACACTGATTAGGGCAGTGCAGAGAAGCGTCATGGCAGCTCTGAAGCCCAGCTGTTTTAACATGAGAAAGAGGGAGAGATCTCAAAAGACAGCGCTGATGGAGTGGAGGGGAGAAGCGTTTTAGGGGTAGTTTTTCAACAATCAGGAATGGATTAATAGTTTTTGCATTACTTTCTATGGGAAAGTGCGCCTTGGTTTTGGAATGTTTTGGTTTTGGAATGGACTTCTGGAATGGATTAAGTTTGAGAACCAAGGTACCACTGTATAGCACAGCACGTGCCCATTCTATGCAAATCCTCTTCATTCCCTTTGGTCCAGGGCCAGCACAAGGCATTTTGCTGCCTGAGGAGGAGGAAGAGGTTATGCTCCCAACACCATTCCATGCACAGAAACCAACTAGAAAGGGAAGGTGAAACATTGGCCAATCAATAGTGTCCTTCATGACACATGATACCAGCAGGTTAGTTATGGGGTTCAGGATAGTCTGCGTGACAGACACAGCTCTGTCCTCCAACAGAAGGCAAGTAAGAAGTGTGCCATGATAGAAGTTTATAAAAAATTATGCACGACCTGGGAGAAAGTGTATAGAGAAAACCTCCCCCTGCCAAAAAAAACCCCTCTAGAATGTTAGAAGATTCAGAACAGATAAAATAAATTCCTTCTTCAGGCAGTGCATTGTTGAACTATGGAACTCACACCTACAGTAGGCAGGGATGACTATTGACTTAAAGGTAAAGGGACCCCTGACCATTAGGCCAGTAGTGACCGACTCTGGTGTTGCGGCACTCATTGCGCTTTATTGGCCGAGGGAGCCGGCGTACAGCTTCCAGGTCGTGTGGCCAGCATGACTAAGCCACTTCTGGTGAACCAGAGCAGCGCACGGAAACGCCGTTTACTTTCCCGCCGGAGCGGTACCTATTTATCTACTTGCACTGTGTGCTTTCGAACTGCTAGGTGGGCAGGAGCAGGAACCAAACAACGGGAGCTCACCCCGTCGTGGGGATTCGAACCGCTGACCTTCTGATCGGCAAGTCCTAGGCTCTGTGGTTTAACCCACAGCGCCACCCGCGTCCCATGACTATTGACTTAGGTGGCTTCAAAAGAGGATTGGACAAATTAATTGGGGGGAAGGCTACTACTAGCTATGTTCTGCCTCCACAGTAGGAGGCAACAACTGGTCTGAAGACCGGTTGCTGGAAAGCACAGGAGTGGAGAAGTGCTCTTCTGCTCAAGTCCTGCCTGTGGTTTTCCCACTGTGACACGCATGAGCTGAAAATGGGAGGTTCAAGCTTCATTCACACCCCATCCTGACACCCTGGCACTTACAGTGGTTGGGACTGGCTGGGTACCGGTGGTGGTGCCTCTGCAACTGGTGGCGCACTAAGGAAACAGGGGGAAAAAGAGAGCAAAAAGTTCAGAAGTGAGAAGCATGCTTTGGCCCCTTGTGACCATGCCAGAGATAGCAGCTTATTTACTTCCTCCCCAACTGTTGCGTGGCGAGTTCCTGCCCCCCCCAGTGGAAAAAAAGACTCATAACACAATTTTTAAGGTTAATGGGCAAAATAAGGCCACAACATTATTGGTTACAGGTGGTGAGCGGTATTGGCTTAGGCATTGGTCCTAACCAACTATATCCGGCTTCAGCAAGTCTGGAAAGGGTTAGCCACCAGTAGGGGGAGTCCTGCTGATGCACATCAACTAGGAACTCCCCTGGGGTCACCGCTCGGGGGCGTGCCTTAGGCCCTCACCTCCATAGGCTTCGGACAGGGCCACGCCCCCCGGAATCCTTTATCGGACTACCCTTCAATATGTGGGTCAGGTGATGGCGCTTCCTCCCCTCTTCCATCTACATAGCAATACCAATACCAATGCCTAACCGCCAATACCGAGAAAGTTGTGACGATTTGCTACGAGGTCAGCGAAAACCAAGTGGCTGGTGCCAATTTGCCAAGTGGAAAAATTCCTACCAGGCCCCTCAACGGCGACCAACCGAGGTCCATAGCAAGGTCAAGGAACGAAAACCTTAAAGGGCGAGAGGGTGGGAAAAGTAGGAACTGCTGGCAGGCGGCAAAGAGGGAGATCCCCGGCCGTGCCCCCTTTAAATAGGTCAGGCCACGCCCCCAGAGCCAGCCGATTGGCTAGCCAGGGGGTGACGCGGCCAGGGATTCCCCTCTTTTGCCGCCTCCAGCTGCTCCTGTTTCCCACCCTCCCGCCCTTTAAGGTTGGCTCC